AATCATCGTACCAAGAGTGATGAGGTATTGTGGGAAGGCAGAGAGTTAGTATAGGACATGAAAGGTACAAAATGTATCTCCAGCCGGCTAAGCAAGATGACATGGCAAAAATGAGCTTAATAGTTAAGGCTGAAGTGATAGGTTATGGAATTTAAATTTGAACTAAAACATAAAAGTGAAGCACCACAGATTCTTAATTATAGGTTGCAAGTATGGTCTGAAAAGAGAAAACAACTTCCATATACCACTCTCCTATTACCTCTGTAGCAAATTATCACACATTTAGTGGTTTAAATAACATGAACTTATTTCCTTACAGTTCTGGTGGACAGAAGTCCAAATTACTCTCTTTTTGTAGACAGGATCTCACTTCCTAGTACAGGGTAGCCTTGAATTCACTGCAGTCTTCTTGGCTCAGCCTCCTGAGTGGTGAAATTACAGGTGTATTGCCACCACACCCAGCCAGAATTATTCTTACAGGGCAAAAATCAAGGTGTCAGCAGTACTGGTTCCCTCTGGAAGCTCTTGGGGAGAATTCATTTCTTAGCTCTTCCAACTTCCGGAAGCTGCCAGGAGTCCTTGGCTCATGGCTTCATCACTCCAGTCTCTGCTCCTTGTTGCATTTCCTTCTGTGACTTGGGTTTCTAGCCGCTCCCACTATTGTCATCTGAGATAATCTTCCCGTCTGAAGATTTAAGTCACATCAGCATAGTCCCTTTTGCTATATAAGCATCATTCTGGGGATTAATAGATGGAAGACGGAGGGATGTTATTACATCTATACTTCTTTCCAAAAAGCCAAACAACACCAACCGCCACCAAAGACTTGAAAAATGGCAAACGTCATTTTAAACCATTGCTTAGTTTTCAGGAGAGTAAAGTCTATCACTACAGTGGAGACCACAAGTGGAGGAGTGCTTGTACTGATGACAGGAAGGAGCAGAAAATTAAAACTGAACTAAAGGCAAAAGCAAGGTGGCATCAGTTCTGGGACTGATGTAAACCTGGAGCTCTCAGCAACACGAGAAAGCTGAGCGTCCAGGATCCTGAATAGGGCACTGATGTGGTCCACAGTGCACTTAGCCTTTGGCAGAGCCTTCTGGAAGAAAGCACCACAAATATAGGTCATTTGAATTTCACTGATTAATTTAATGAAATATAAACTCACAATTTAAAAAATTACCAATCAGCGGGATGTGGATATAACTCAGTGGCACAGCGCCTGCCTGCCAAGTACAAGGTCATGAGTTTGATTTCTGGTACCAAAAAAAAAAAAAAAAAAATTCCCAGTCATATAGAGAGAAAAGCCAGTATGAATTAACAGAAATAATAAGAAAAATTATTTGGTCCCCAGGAAACCTTATATATTGAAATTATCAGATACAGAATATATAACATAAGCATGTATGAAATATTTAAAGAAAGACAAATTCATTTGTATTTACACAAAACTTGCACCTGCATGTTTATGGCAGCTTTGTTCACAGCTGTCGAAGTCTGAAAGCACCAAAATGACCTTCAGCAACTTAAGTACATTCAGACAATGTAATACTACCCAGTGATGAAAAGAAATAAGCTATCAAGACATTAAAAGACACGGAGAAAATTTAAATGCATAGTGTTAAGTGAAAGAAGCCAATGAAAAAGACTAACCACAGTGTGGCTGTAACTATATGATGTTCTGAAATTCATAATAACTAAATCTATAAAATGGCTTGTATGTGCATGGACAGATGAATGGATGAAGGAAATGTGGTATTTATACACAATCGAATATTTGAAGAATAAAATGAAGTCATTTGTAGGAAAATTGACATCAATTTTGAGACCTTGAGACCTTGAGACCATAATGTTAATTAGATACACAGGCTTAAATATTGAGTGGCTTCTCTTATTTGAGAAACTAAAAATACAAATAAATTCAAGAGCAAAATAAAAGATAGATAATAGAATACAGGGAGATCTTTTGCAAAAGGGAAGGGGACGAAGAGGTGGGGAGGGAGAGGAAGGCAATGAGAAAAAAGATGTGTTACTTCTGATATCAGCTTCCCATGATGAATGTAATCATTATCTCAAACATATACTAATACAAACAAAGTAGGAAATAGAATAGCAGGATCAATCAAAAGCATAAATAAGGTAAGTTTAAACAAAATTTATTAGTTTATGTATTAAATGTAAATGAACAAAATACGGCAGTAAAAAGACTAAAGTAGAAATATTTTTTAGAAGTTATATGTTGGTTACTTTTCCTTACTTTGTAAACGTTCTCATCCTGTGCAAGAGGAGGGCTTAGAGGTGGTGTGAGTGCTGCACCAGCCTGGGCGGTTGGTAACCTGCTCACAGTATCAGGGAGGAAAGAAGCTTGTTCTCCCCTCTTTTGCTCCTGCTGCTTCTCATGTCTTCTGCTGCCTTGAAGAGTTGTCCCTGTGCCATGCCACCTGCCTTGGAGTCAGCTGATTATGAACTGACACGTCCACAAACTATAAGCTAAATAAACCTTTTCCTTCCTTAATTTTGTGTGTTGGGTATTTTTTCTCAGCAACAAGAGAAAAGTAACCAACATATAGCTTAAGAGCTCACTCTCAGCATATATACCTCACTCTTGAGATAATGATAGCTATCCACTGATGTGAGCAGATCCCAAATGGCTTTGCCACCTCCTAAAGCCACACCTCTCAGCAATATTTCACTGGGGATTGAGTTTCCAACATGCGAACACTGGGGGACACATTCAAACCATGGCAGACACCATGCACAGAACTCATTGTCAAACTTCACAGTGTAAGATATATAAAGCTTTTGGAATGTAGGACCATATCTTTATGATTTCAAAGGTAGAAAAGACTTTAAAATTAGATAGCAAAGTTATCAACCATATGTCTTAGTTATTTTTCCCATTGCTAAGACAAAATAATCTGATGCCCAAAATTAAAGGGGGAGGGCAGGTTTATTTAGCTCACAGTTTGTAGCAGTTTCAATTTAGTCAAGGTGGCTGGGCAGAGGGGCATTGCATAGTATAGCTAGCAAGCAGAAGACAGGAAAAGTAAGCAAGCAAGAGACCTTAACAGCATCTTTCTACCCCTTTCATCTTATCTAGATCACTCAGGGTGGGAAGCACTCACACTGTTAATCCTAATGTCTTTGAGCTTAGCAATGCACCATGAATCAGTCCCAGCTTCACACACTGTAGATCTAGCTGCCTCTGAAAAAGTCTCACCTATGACTGCATGAGGTTCTGGAGTACATCCAAACACAACCCATAACATTGTGAATGAAAAGATTGATACATTTGACCATATTAAAATGAGAGAACTTTCATTTATTAAAAGGTAGCATAAAGAAAGCTAAAAAATAATAGAGTGGGGAAAGGTATTTACTACAAATATAATTCATGAAATATAAGCCTCCAGAGTATATAAGAACTCAAATTGACAACAGACAATCATATTGAAAATTTGAATAGCAGTTTCACCAAATGAAAGAATTTAAATGACGAATAAGCATATGCAAATATATAGTCCCATTATTAATCAGGGAAATGCAAATTGTAGTAACTACAGTGAGATACCATTAGCCACCCTCCAGATCTGCTAAAATGAAGTAGTTAGATAACACCTGTTGTCAGGGTGTAGAGCAGCAGAACTGTCAACTGCTGGTGGTGAAGAGATGCATTCATTCTGGAAAACAGCTTAGCATTAGTTATGTAGTGAAATGGCACATATACATACCCTGTGCAAACAAACACAACAACTCCTGAACAACGTGGATGAGTCTCACAAGCATAATATTGAGTGAAGAAGGTAAGGAACAGAAGAATATTCACATGATTTATTCATTTAATGCTCCAAATCAGCCTAAGTGAAATTGTATTTAGGAATACACATAAAAGTGTCAAAACTATTCACAATCCCAGCACTCAGGAGGTTGAGCCAGGAGATTACCAAGTGTGCCACCTTGGCCTATACAGAGTTCAAGGCCAGCTGGAGTACAGAGCAAGACTCTAAAATATGAAAATAAAAATAAATAAAAATCAAAGATCAGATATCGTGGTGCATATCTGTTATTCTAGCACTCAGGAGGCTAGGCAGGAGATCTGCAAGGCCATCCTGGGCCACATAAAATGATTCTGTCTTTTTTTTTTTTTTTTTTTTTTTTTGTCTTTTTCATTTTTACCGGTACCAGGGATCGAACTCACGACCGCCTGCTTGCAAGGCAGGTGCTTATGCCGCTGAGCTAAATCCCCAGCCCCAAAATGATTCTGTCTTTAAAAACAAATTGAAGAATCCTGAAAGTAGGGAGATACGGTGGTCTGCATCAACACTGTCACCCAGGAGGCTATTGTATAGTTAATCTACTTATAATAAAAATGTTGATTAGCCTTCACCATCCTGTAGTGATCTGATTAGTTCTATAATGTTCAGTATATATTCAATGTATGTGAAGATGGGGACAACTATTTGGAAGAAAACTAGAGACAATAAGATGGACAGTGAAGATCTCCAGTGGACTTGCTTTGAAATCTATGTTTCTTTAAGTTGTCTCTCTATCAACAGTTTTGTTCTGTTTTGCTATGTTTAATCTTACCCCCTTTAAGATAAAAAACAAGAAGGGGCTGGGGATTTAGTTCAGCAGCATAAGCGCCTGCCTTGTGAGCAGGCAGTCGTGAGTTCGATCCCCAGTACCGATAAAAAGGAAAAAGACCTAAAAAAAAAAAAAGATAAAAAACAAGTGTGTAGCACTGATAACCATATTACTAAGTTCTTGTTGGATCGTTGAGCAGAACTGTTTGCAGTGTCATTGTTTGACTATCACTTCGTATGCTTTAATTTTGTAACTCAAGCAACTATTTCTAAGATGACGGTATGTAACTTATCGACTGGTGATTTCTTACTGTTTACTTTTCTGAAATTCTGTATTGTTTCTACCCCTTTTATCTGTTTTTTTCTTTAAATAATAAAAAAAAGATAGTAGCAATAAAACTGGATTCTGAAAAAAAATGTTAGTTAGGGGTTTGGGTCATTGGCACCTCTTTTTTTGGACCCAGGGCCATGGCACTGATCCTCACCCTAAGCTCATTTGTTTATTTATTTGTTTGTTTTTAAAATTTGAAACAGGATCTAAGTTTCCCAGACAGGACTTGAACTTGATGGACAGGGCCGTATGTGTACTATATGACGTTTGGTCTCCTGACTGTCTTCTGTATATTGGTTGTACGCCTGTAAAGAAAGTTGTGAAAAATCAAGAGAGTGGAAACCCCTGGACTAGAGGTGGGTAACCCTGTTCTTTACCTTTTTGTCAACACAGCTATTTCTTCATGAAAGATGTAGTATAGTAATTCAATTTTCACATTGCACAACAACGGACACTAACTCTAGTCAGAGAGAAAAGGACTTCACTGAAAGAATACTGGGTGGCTCACAATTTGATGGAAAAGCTGAAGAATGAGTCTTGGAACATGAACAGGAGCCATGGGAAAATAGGCAGCCAGAAATAGAGACCAAATCAGTGCACAGGAAGAATGCAGTTATTATCCAACGGCTTCTATTACTGGCACAGCCACCACTGGACACGGGTGCTGACCTTAATGCTGCTTCTACCACCTCCAGGCAAATTCTAAGTTGCCATGTGATTCTCTAGGTGTTGCCAGAGCCGAGGTCTTAGGTAGGAGCATCTGATGGAAAGACTCACACCCAAATGCCAGGAAGGAGGGAGCCAGGGAAGAGGCTGTTTGCCCACACTATTTATTGGAATTCTCTCCACATGGGAAGCTATTTGGGAGTCAAGTAACTACTGGGAAGGACAAAATGAAAAAATGCTTGTCACAGGGAGTATCAGGAAAAATAGCGTATCTGGTCTCTGCCTATCCACGGGGAGGAGGAAAGAATAATGTAATATTTACTTGGAGACAGGAATGGTGCACAGAACCACTGAAGTAAAAGGCAGCCAGGCTGTGCCTTTCTTCTGCCTTGCAGTCTACCATGTCTTCTCTTTTCTAATTCCCCTGCCTATGATTGAACTGAGGATTGAACTGATTAGCCCTGTGCTACTGTCCAGGCAGCCGTCTTCATTCAGCAAGAGGAAGAGACCTCACCTGACCAAAGTCGGGGTTGTACCCACTATGGTAGTTTCTGCCGACTGACTAAACTTGAAGATATCTGACACTGATTTCCATCCAGCTGGTGACCCAGCCAGCACATCTGTGTAACATCTGGGAGGGAAGAAGGCGCAACGTCATGAGTCAGACTTTAAAGCCCTCTTAAATTTTCAGACTAGTTAGCTAGTCCTTGACTGTGTTTGAGTATGGCTTGTTCTCACTGATATTTGTGTTGAGGTTTGATGGCCACTGTGGCAGTACTCGGATGTGGGTCTTTAAGAGGTGAACAAGTAACTTAGAGAGATTATGTCTTCCGCGTGAATTGAGTTGCTCTAAAGTGATCCCAGGACTGCTAGCTCTCCCTTCCACAAGCACCCACTGGTTCTGCCCATGTTTCTACCCCTTAGACACAGAAGGAAGCCCTAGCTGGACACCCAGAAGATGCCAGCATTGTGCTGCATGCTTTCAGCCTGGAGGACCTGGAGCCACATAAAACAGCTCTCCTTTGTAAGTTACTGGTCTTAGGTAGTCTTTGACAGCAACAGAAAGTAGACTCAGACACATCAAGACTGGCAGGCAATAGGTTCTAACATGAAAACAGAAGCTTGTGTCATACGTATAAAGAGAGAGAGAAGGAAGGGTTGTCTCTATGTCAGAGACAAGAATGGTATCATTTGTGGTGGAAGCAGCAGTGGCCAGAGGAGCTTGTGTTGATTCCTAACCCCATTCATGCAAGGGAACACAGTGAGTGCCACCTGGGTGCCACATGGCACCTGGACACTTCATAGGGTCTGTTATAGGAGAGGAATTAGGAGACTCTGATCTTGTATGAAATGCAGGATCCTCCCACCCAGAGAGAGAGAGAGAGAGAAAAAGAGAGAGAGTTATTCCTTAGCTTTATTCCAGAATGAAAGCAAGTCTCCAGAAGGGAGTGCGGTGCTTTACCATTAGTATTGTAGCTCTTCCCCAAAGGGGGAAGTATTGCATGGTAATACCTGCTGTATCTATAGGTAACCCCTGCAGTATCTCTTGATAGAAACAGTCTGAATTGCTTGTCATTTTTTTTTTTTTTTTGGTCTTTTTGAGACAGGGTTCCACTATGTGTTTCAGACTGGCCTTAAACTCACTTTGTAACCCAGGCTGCACTCAGACTTGCAGTGATTCTCCTGCCTCAGCCTCCAGAATGCTGGCATTACAGCAGGCGCCATTGTAAATGCTTTTGGTCAGAGGCTTAAACCTGCAAAGAAGTGAGATGTTTGAGGGAGTCATCTGCCAGTAGTAATTACACATGAATCAATTTTCTCTAAGTTCAAAAACATGTGTTTGACATAAAAATTGTCTAGAATATAGTAAGTGAAAAAGAAGATGAACATGACATATAGTAAAATCTCACTTTTGTAACAGGTGCTAGTGTCGATCTACAGAAAAAATACCTGGGAATCTACCAATTTTTTAATAGTATTTATCTTTGGTTGGGTGAGAGTTGGTTTAAAAGTGGTTTTAACTGGGCATGGTGGCCCCATGCCTGCAATCCCAGTACTTGGCTGAGGCTGAGACAGGAGGATCACTGTGAGGCCAGCCTGTGCTACACATGAGTTTTAGGCCAGCCTAAACTGCATAGTGAAACCCTATCTCAAAAAGAAAAAAAAAAAAAAAAAAGACCTTTCTGTTTATATGTACTTTGTTTTCCCACCAATGAGTAATCTTTGTGATTAAAATTTTCTCTTTAACTGCACCAAAAATGATACCCCCTTTTTTTCTGTCTTCTGTTGAGCATATGTATCAGTAATGCATGTTTTTGTCTTGTTTTTGCTGGTTTAGCTAAATTTTGGAAGTACAGTCATCCCTTAGTGTTCTGGGAATTAGTGCCATGATTCCCTGCAGATAATCTGAATGCTGGGACTATAACCATTCAACCCTGTACCTAGCTATAGATGCAATTTAAAAACATTATTTTCTACCTCAGATTGGTTGATTCTGTGGATGTGGAACTTGTGGATCTAAGGTGAAAGAAAAATAAAAAACATTAAGAAAAAGAGCACAAGGAAAAGTAAAAATGGAAATCCTAGGAGAAGACACAGGTCTGGGAAGGTGTTTTTTTTATTTCTTTTCTTTCTTTCTTTTTTTTTTTTAATACCAGGGATTGAACCCACAACCTTGAGCTCCCCAGGCAGGCACTTACACCACTGAGCTAAATCCCCAGCCCCTTCTGGGGCTCAATTTTCAATTGAAATGCTGATCAATAAATCCTTATCTACCTCCTTTACAAAAATCAGTACATTACATGACATTTTATATGAGTGGACATGTTGGTGGGGAGCTTGAAGAAAAGTAAGTGGAGAAAACAGTGATATGGGTTACATTTTGGGTGCTGCGTAAAATCATCAAACTGATGTATTGCCTCCTGTATCTAGGAATAAATTATTAATTGCCTAGAATACGGGTTCTCAAACTCTTAAAAATTGTGGTGGACCCTCAATTCATGTAGTTTATAACTATTTGTTTTTAAAATATCCCCAGTCCCCCCCCAAAAAAAACCCCAAAGCTATTTGTTACTTACACCATTAGAAATTAGAGCTAAATATGTATATATTTATCCTTTACTTTTTTTGGCAGTGCTGCGTATGGAACCTAGGGCCTAGAATATACTAAGGAAATGCTCTACCACTGAGCTACACTTCAAATCCCGAAACTAAGAAAAATGTAAGTCACAAGAAAACGACCTCAGAATGATGCCATCATCAGACAGGAAGCGGCCTTTTAGAAAACTGTTTGGGGATGGAAAAGGCTGAGAAAGCAAATAAGTTAATGCTGCTGTCAGCACAGTAGCATGTGCCTCCTGGAAGGGCCAGCTCCCCAGCCCCGCCGTGGAAGCCACCAACCACCGACCCAGAGAACAGACACCGCGTGGTTACCGAGTCCCGTGTGTTCGTTCTCTGCCTTCGCCCTGGTACCCCACTGTTCTCCATCAACCTCACCTGATGCTCTGGTCTTGTCTTTTTCTTCCACTGTCGTTTTATTCCTCTGCTGGATCATATCTAGAATTTTCTCTTCTAGCCTAAGTGAGTATTCCTTCACTTTTTAATTGTGTAAATAGCATCTTATTTTTGTTTTGTGTAACACTTTCTTATAGGTCTTTGAGAATATCAGTAGTTACCATTTTCTCTCCTTCAGCATGATCTCTGTTTCTGTTTCTTTCAAATTCTTTTTAATGATTGTTGTCTGTTTTGTCTTTTATTTTTGGATAGGTTTTGTTTCAAGATGGAGTCTCTCAGTGTAGTCTAGACTGACCTTGAACTCACTATGCAGCCCTGGCTGGTTTTGAACTCACAATGATCCTACTGTCACAGCTTCCTGAGTGCTGGGATTACAGGTGTGAACCACCACACCCAGCCACTTTGTCTTTTATGATATGGATTTTTCCTCAAACTGATATTTAAGAAATTGCTATGTGATGGCGTTTAGCTGTTTGTCCACATTTCAGAGTGGTATACTACATTCTGCAGCCGTGTCTACAGGGGCCTGTAGCCCATGGGCCTTGCAGTGACAGAATGGTCAGAGTCCCAGAATACTTCACACAAACTCACCATTTGCAGAATTCAGCTGGATGTCATTTTAATGTCTAAATGGGTGCAGTTAGAAACAGATGAAAGCATCTTGGGATTTGATCAACAAAAAAGTTTCAACACTTAGATAAGAATCCTAAGGATCCATGGGAACAGCCATAGTATCTTTAGAGGCTGATGGGAAACATGTAACCAAAGAGAAGTAAAAAATTATAAACCTAAAAGGGATGGAGGAAGCCAGCTACAATCTCTTTTGGGGTTTCAGACATCCAGGAATAAAAGAATATTTACTAATTAAATGCAAGGATTTTGGAGTCCACAATAGTGACTACGGGAATGTACCAAGTGTTCCGGGTTGGATGTGGACAGTCCTAAAAGCTCTCTTGCGCTTGGAGGTGGGGCTTTTGCAGGGTGGCGCATCCTGAAGGAACTATACTCTTCTTCGGAGGCTTCCTCTACCGTGGAGTTCAGTGTGGAGGTGCTGTTGGGAGGTGGCGCGTGGTGGGAAGAGGTGGTCTCTGGCCGTGGCCTGGAAGGGCATACTTTAATCTCTTTCCTGGGCTTGCCCTTCACTCCCCGCTTTTCCTGCCTGCCAGGACCTGAGCAGCTTTCATATTGGCAAGGCATTTCTGCCTCCAAGTCTGCTCACCATGGACTGAACTTTTGAAACTGCAAGCTGAAAGAAACCTCTCCTCTCAGCCGCAGGTATCAGGCATTGTGTCTCTGAAGCAGGATTTAAAAAGCAGTCCCCCCGAATCACCTCTCAGCTATAACTTCTTGTTCTGGTACAGGTGAGCCTGACAACTGTGTTCTGTAAAGGGAGTTTATGTCATCTTGTTCTCGCAGGATTTATAAGGCTCTGTCTTCTTTCAAGGCCAAGTTATTAATTGCGTTGTCTCGCTTCTGTACCCGCACTTGCCCTGCCACCCCCCCACCATTTCTAAACACCTACCGGCTCAGCCAAATGTGTAAAACTAGACCCTTTCCTTTGTTCTAATGGCTAGCAGTTTGGACATGCGTTTGGCTGGATCCAGGTGCATCTAAAAATCCTAGTGATCTCTCTGATCTCTTGGATTCTGCAGCATTTCAGTGATAAGGAAAGTGACTAAGACACTTAGCATAGCAGTCAGCATCACAAGAAATTGAGGTGTTTACATCTTCAGGTCTCAAGCCCAGTCAGAGGTTCTGATTTCAAAGAGCAGATTTAGCAGCAGAGAAGGTAATCATGTTCCCCTGGTGGGGAAGGCCATGTCCTTCCAAGTGGGCTCATGTTCTGCCTTTATGGGATTTAGAATTTAGTAATGTGTTGAAGTAAATATATGATGTTCAATATTAATAAAATTCTTATTTTAGGTATATTGAGTTAGAGCTTGCAATTCCAATTCCAAATTAAATTGTATAATTGATTTAGATTACACTCTAATCAAAGTTTAACTCTTACTAAATTTACAACAGTATTGGATCATTTAAGAGAAATTAAATCCCATGACATTTATAAATTTGTGTAACATTTTATTTGAGGAACTATTTGCTAGGAGCTTTTCTTAAAAGGTTTTGTTGTAAGATAACTGGAGAATTTAAAATGAATAGTGTTCATTACACTTATGAATAGAGTTGTGAAAATAGCCTGCCATATATCTGGGAAATAAATTTAAAATGTTAAGGAACTAATTTTTTAAAATTTGCAACAGGTAAAAATTTTAATTAAAAATAGTAAAATGGATGGTGCATGCCATAATCCCAGCAGTCTGAGAGGCTGAGGCATGAGGATTGAAAGTTTGAGTTCAGCCCAAATGGTCTCTGAATAAGACCTTTTTTGTGGTATGTACAAAAATCATTCTCAAATGCACAAAACACCTACACTGACAATTTGATGAAAATAAGACTATTTTACAGAGAAAGTCCCATATAACAGTATATATGGGTTATTTGTATGGATTTCCTAATTTTTTTTTTTTTTTTTGTCTTTTTCCTTTTTATCGGTGCCGGGGATCGAACTCATGACTGCCTGCTTCCAAGGCAGGGCTTATGCCGCTGAGATAAATCTCCAGCCCCCAATTTCCTAATTTTCTAAGAAAAATCCGTCAGCCCTTTGCCTGTGTGGGAATAACCTGCTGCTGAGCTGATCTTGGTGCATGAAGCCTGGGCACTGCTCAGCCTGAACTTAGGAGGCTCTCATGCTAACTTGTGTTCTGCTGTTGTCTTGATCAGTCTCTCCCTCCCTCCTCCGTCCTGCCTGCCTCCTCTCCCTTACTTCTTTTTCTTTCTTTCTTTCTTTCTTTTTGGCTTTTTCTTTTTTTATCGGTACCGGGGATCGAACTCACGACTGCCTGTTTGCAAGGCAGGTGCTTATGCTGCTGAGCTAAATCCCCAGCCCCACTTCTTTTTCTTTTCTTGCACTTACTGAAGATTGAACCTGGGTGAATGGAGGCAGTTCTCAGTTCTTTTTATTTTATATATATTTTAAATTTGAGTCAAGGTCTTATTATGCTGACCAGGCTGGCCTTGAATTTTACGAACATCTGCTTCAGCCTCCTGAGTAGCTGAGGTTATAGGTGTGTGCCTCCAGACCTGGCTTGAAATTCTTAACATTTTTTTTTAAACAATGGTTTCCATGTTTTCATTTTGTACTTGGTCCTGTAAGTTGTGTAGCATTGGGCACAGGAAGAGGGCTGGGCGATCCCTGAGTTTTCTGCGTCCTCTGTGCCTGTTGTTGGCCGTTCACAGCCTCCCAGTTTTCCTTTTTTGCCAGGGCTGGGGAATGCACGGTCATCTGGCCGTATCAGCTACAGGAGACAGGCGGTGCCCAGCTCCACTCCGCCTGTTAATTCTGTGGTAGGAATCACATTGTTTTTTGAAGTCTTTTCCTCGTAGATACTTGTAAAGTGGAAAAGTTTGAAACTTAAAATCAATTAACAATAAATCTACCCCAAAAGTTTGTGGATAACTAGCTACTGTTGTAAACAACAAAATTACAATAATTTAGAGATGTTAACTGGTATTCTTTTAATCTAGAATTGGTCAACATTGCATGTCATAAAATAGAATAAATGTTCCAATGGGCTGAGCAGAGGACACTGGTTTTATAGATAGAAAAGGACTAAAGAAAATAGAAACATTAATAAAAAGTGGGACTTTTTCAGTCATTTTTAAGGTGAAGACAGGGAGACAGACAATAGAAAAATAACTGATTGTCTTAATTACTTCCTTGTGGCTAGAACAAAATATCCAACATCCACAAGTTAAAGGAGGGTTGGTTTATTTTAGCTCACAGTTTGTAGAGGTTTCGGCCCATCGTTGGTGGCTCCAAAGCAGGGTAGCACAGCAGAGGGGGATCACAGGAGAGAAGCAGCCCGTGGCCGGGAAGGCAGAAGGTGGCAAGGGGTTGAGGAGAAAGAGGGAGATGCGCCCTCCAGCCACACCCGCTCTGCCTGCCTCAGACCTCACCTCCCAGCATCACACCCAGGTGTAACTCCATCACACACCTAGGACCCGTCAGCTCCCAGGAGCCCCATCTAGGAGCATGTGAGCCTTTGGGGGGACATCCAAATACAAACCATAACAAAGTTAGGTAACCTTTTTGGTAAAATGATTAAAACTGAGGGAACTTTGTATGCCTCCTGAAATTGGCCTGTTTGGAAAAATTGACTCTTGTCTAATTCTGGTTTCTCAGGTAAGGTAAAGATTTACTTTCAGCTGGGTGGTGTGGAATCGTAGGGTGAGTTTTTACTTTGAGCCTAGATATGAGGGCTGGGACCTCGTTCAAGAGCTTAGCTCAATGCAGTGGTCTCCTGCAAGATTTATTTAGCAATGGTGTCGTCTGCCATGTTCTTTGCATCTGTGGTTTTATGCCCTTTGTTTTCCTTTTAGTAAGGTTGTGGGAGAGAACAGAGATGGTGTAGGTGTTCCACGTGCCAGGCATGACCAAGAGTCCCAATTTAGCTGCCATGGAAACAACTATTCTCCTTCAGCATTCCATTGTTGATTTGTGAAGTAATTAAATTATGTAACCACAATGATGTGTACAACTGATTTAAAGAAGTTTATGAACAATCCCATTGACTCTTAGTAAATATACAATGCAGAAGGAACAGAAATATATGGGTATTAGCTAAATTACAGAATTAAAAACAATAAAAATTGTTTTTAAGTCAAACAAGTTGGGTTAAATGGAGATTAACTGAGTTTCTACTTTAAATGAATGTGACATGTATTTCTGCTTTATCAGATGTCTAAATGATTTGGCTTCTTGAGCAACAACTGAACTCTTAAAAAAGAGAATCTGTCTTTTGGAATCCTTGTACAAGCAAATAAATGCCTTTTTCTTCCTGCACTGTTTTCTGAGATGGGGATTCTTAGTGCATCCCAACTGAGCGCCTGGATTGTGAACTCTGTCTATTCTAACTGCTAATAACACCTTCCTGTCCCTGGACTTTCAGCTTTGACCCCAAAGACCTTGGTTTGCACCTGTGATTTGATATCCTATGTTGCTTGAGGTTCCCTTTCATAGGCATCTGGTTTCTCCATCTCTAACCTTTTAGGAACTCCTCAGGGCAGAAAGATTTGCTTTCTCATTGATTTCTTTCTCTGCAGGGAGATAAGTTTCAGGTTCTTCTCTCTGAATGACTTACCCAGTCTTTGCTTTCCATCTTGCAAGATTCTGATATTTTTCAACTGTCATCACACATATTTTGTCTTCCTATCTGGAAGTTTATAGATTTAAAGAATTGTATTTCTTTGCTATCCTTTTAATGGACATTTTCAGGAGTAGAGAATTCCATCTTATTCACATTAGTTCATGTTTGGTCTTCTCTCTGTTATGGTAGCTTTCTATTTCGTAAGCTCTTCAATGTCCTGGTTCCTCAGAATAGGTTGCCTCAGTTTTAAGCTTTCTAGACTGTCTAAAAAAGATACTAGTCAGCCTTTTCCTGTCAGACCCCTGTTTGATCTGGAGTAAATATATAGTTAGAAGCAAATCAGTGTGAATTAGCTTTTGTAAATATCAATTAAAACTTAGGGAATGTTTTGGGATAAAGGTTGTGATAAAATTAAACTGACTGAGAAGTTGCCTATTGATTGAGAAATAAGACTCTAAGGTCAGAGGAGCTTTTCCCCTCTGACTATGAAGAAGGGAGTATTTTAGGACTGTGAGTTGGAACTTCCACAGAGGGCACTGGCACATCTAAATTCACAGCAGTTATTCTCCATGCAACTGCATAGGAATTTTTCTCTTTTTAAAAACATTTTTAAAAGTTAATTTTATTGGTACTTTTGATATACATAATGATCACAATCATGGGGAATTTGTACTTCTACATAATATCCCTTGATTCTTTTTTCCCGTTCTCCTCCACTCCCTTCAATCCCCTTTCCCCTCCCCATTTACAAAAAGCTTTGTAGGAGTTTTCAGTTTCAAAGATCCTTATTTGTTGTAGGAGTGGGGAGTGAATAGAATTAAAATCTTTTCTCTTTCATAGAATATTAAAACACAAATTTTGTTTCTGTAGGAGTGAAATCAGTTCCTGGAGGGCCGACTGTTTTCTGACATTTCACAGCCTCTCTGAGTCCTGACGGGAGTGCAGTGTAGATTCAGATGCTGTCTGTGAGCTTCTTTAATCTTTATATCAGCCTGTGAACGGGGACTAGCACTACTCTAACTTCATAGCTGAATTCAAGGCACAAGCTACATAGCTATAGCAAGAAGTAATAAGGTATTTTATAGAGGGAAGAAAACTTAAGTAAGACAAGTTAGTTCCAAAGATAATTCCAATAGACCCGGATCCCCTTGGCTGATTAAACAGGTTAGTTGGATCCCACCCAAGCGCTGTGTATGGAAGCATTTGTCCTTAGTGAACATATAAAATGCTTTCTGGAGAAAGAGACGGGGAACTTTATGGATCTTGCAGAATCGGCTGTATAATTACTTGCTAAGCATGTGTGATGAATTTGGTCTGAGAATTTCTCTCACTGTAACATGATCCTTGGTGCAACGCTGTAGAAAAGCTCTATTGGCTCAGTCTGTCTCCTAACTACTAGAGGTTACTCTGTCTGCATAAAAGACAACTGAGAATAGTCAAATTGACTCAGGTTAATTGGTCACATAGGAATTTTCTCTTTAAATTTTATTTTTCTTTTTTTGTACCAGGGATCTAACTCATGACCATCATGTTTGCCAGGGCAGGCACTTACGCTGCTAAGGGAATCCCCCCAGGCCAAAATAACCAATTGAGACTCAGCTTTTTTGTTTGTTTGAGTTTGTTTTTGGTACTGGGGATCGAACTCACAACTGACCGTGTGCTTGCAAAGCAGGTGTTTATGCTACTGAACTAAATCCCCAGCCCTTAAACTTTTTTTAAAAAAATTAATTTAATTCCTTTTAGCTATTTCCAACTAAGGAGAACTTCACAGGTCTTGAACGGAAACTCCTGGGGTTATAGTCTGTGACAGAAAGTCTCCCTGCAGTGTATGAGCAAGATGCAGATGCTGGGCCAGGTGTGAGGGGTAAACTTTCAAACACCAGCTGTTAGAAGTGCAATACTGATTCCGAAGGCTTACGTCTCCTGGGTGTTTCCCATTTCAGTGAAGGAAACCAAGATCACAGGCAGCCCAGGTTAAAGTGACTGTGGCTGTCAAGGTGCCTCTTCCCCTTTCTTCCTGCTTACTGTTGAGGAAACCCCTCCTTTCCTGCCCTGCCCTTCCCTTCTCTGTGTCCATCTTCTGAGTCCCTACTAAATGCGCTGATCTCTACTAGTGCCAAGTTCCAAAGACACTGCAGAGTTTTGGTTTTCCCTGTTGTCTAACATCACAGGTGATCTGGTAGTTGGAATTGCAAGTGTATTTAGAGTCTGAGATGAGAAGCAGAAAATTGATACTGTTAAAATGTCTTCAACAGGCTGGGGATTTAGCTCAGCAGCGTAAGTGCCTGCCTTGCAAGCGTGCGGTCATGAGTTCCATCCACGGTACCGTTAAATGTCTTTAAAAGTTAGGTGTGGTGGTGCACACCTGTAATCTCGGCACTCTGGGAGGCTGAGGCAGGAAGATTTCAAGTTTGAGCCCACCGTAGGCCACCTAGAAACTCAGGGAGACCCTATCTCAAAATAGTGACTGGCAATAAAGCTCAGTTCACAGGCCTTGGGCTGGAGATTTAGCTCAGTGGCTCAAGTGCTTGCCTGGTAAGCATGAGGTTGTGAGTTCAATCCCTGGTACAAAAAAAAAAAAAAAAAAAAAAAAAAAATCAAAAGCCTTGGGTTTAATCCCTGGTACCACAACAGCAAACAAAAGTTGTAAAAGTTGTTGGGGCTGGGGATTTAGCTCAGCGGCAGAAGCGCCTGCCTTGCAAGCAGGCGGTCGTGAGTTCGATCCCCGGTACCGACAAAAAAAAAAAAAAAAAAAGTTGTATATGATAATAAACTAAAATAATATCTGAGTACAGAGTATATATTATCTAATATGGTAGAGGAAATTATAGGCCATTGCTCTCCAGACTAACTTTACAGAAGCTTTTAAATTCACAATCATTTGTTGTCGTGGTACTAGGATTCAAAGCAGGACCTCACACATGCTAGGCAAGTACTCTACCACTGAGCTATACCCTTAGCCCTATTTTTTTTTTTTTTTTAAACTGGAGATTGAACTCACGACCTTGCACTTGCCAAGCAGGTGCTTACACCACTGAGGTAAATCCCTGGCCCGGCTCTTTTTATTTTGAAACAGTCTCACTAAGCTGCCTAGTCTGGCCTTGGATCTGAGGTTTTACCTCAGCCTTTCAAGTATTTGGGATTACGGTGTGCAACACCGACCATTTAGCCTAATTTCATAATTTGAAAAGTGATGTTAAGCATAGTTAAGGTAAAATTTAGAGTTTTGCTTTTCCTCTGCTCTACCTAGAACATTGCTACTAGAACTGTATGGACATGTCTACTCTGTGCTGCCCAGTACAGCAGCCACTAGTTACATCTGACTGCTGAGCACTTGAAATGTGGCTCATGCAACCGAGGAACTGAACTTTTTCTTACATCTAAATAGACCCTTGTAACTGGCTGCTGCCATACTGGTCTTACAGATCTTGAATATAGTGATGGCCTTGTGTTAGGACAGGCGAGGTTCTGCTGCAGCCACGCAGTACCCTGAGGTCTTGTGTTTATGAGAAGCAAGGTCTGTTTCTTGCTGTCATGTGCCCATTCTGGGTTGGCTGGGGACACAGATGAATATACAGTGACTACCAGCTCATGGGTTACCAGTCACTCTCAACTGCCTTGTGCCCATACTTGCGTGCTACAGTCCAGAGCAGACACAGCATTTCTGCTCATAGACCCTAACCCAGAAGCCAGGCCGGCAGTCCTCTGTGCCAGGAGTTCAGAAGCCTCATAATGGCTGCCACAAACACCGGCCTCGCTCCAGGATGCTGAGAAGGATGTTCCGGGCATAAAGAAAACAGTATTCTGTGTTTTTGCAAAGGGGAGAAATGTTTCTTCAGAATTCAAATATCACTGCCTCCTTGATACCTATTAACAGAGATTTATCAAGTGTAAGTAGGATGTGAAACAAAATGCAAATTTCGAACATTTTGATAAAAGAGAAAAAGTCTTTATATAAAGTTGAAGCTGACAATAGCCATTATACCCAGTTCATTCAGCCAATTATTCAAATTTATGCAGCACCGCCTTTGGTTTTAGTTACCAAGATTCATCTGTGGATTCTCCAGTTGGTGGCAAGGAAAAAAGAGATTAAACAAACAGCATGCACTGTGGTATCTTTTATTTAAAAACTGTGAGCTAACTACATTCGTAGTGTTCTGATTTACCATTCTGATGGCATAATAAACCGAAAGAACATTAACACAATCCCAAGAAACCATTAAGCTGTAAACACATGTATATAACACCCATGCACATACACACAACATACACACACAAATTATATTCTAAACACAATTAAAAGTGATGAAAAGCACTTTGGTCTAAATCAAATTAAACCCCTTTATTATAATAACTTGTGGCAATACCGTGGCTATAATGAAAAATACTGTAACTGTTTAAAAAGCAAAAAAGGAAAAATACTGGCAATTTGAAAAGGTAGCTAACAATAGAATGGAAGATAACGTAAGATTAGTATTAAAATTCTAACATTGATAATTCATAGGACTGCACAGAAGTAATTTAAAATTGGTTCATAAGGAACTACGAAAAGGACCATTGGAATATTAAGTTGCTGTACTTTACAAACAGTGGAAAATAAAAGAGTACTTGGAATGTTATACACACACATACACACACACGCAGAGGAAATGTACAAGGTATATCCATTTATGGTATTCATTTATGGTCTGTGACCTCTTTAACAAGAGAAGTGTCAATGTAGTGAAAAACATTAAAACTTACTAAAGATGCAAGTCTGAGTGCGTCGGTCAGATCTAAGAATATATTGCAAGACTGGGGCAAGGCATGACGAATGTGTAGTCAAGGAGGAGAACAATGTGGAGCCCTATGGTAGGCTACGCGCTGCAGATGTGTGGAAAGCAAAGATACAGTAAACTCAGACTAGAAGAGTCCAAAGTACAGGGAGCTCTGCAGCTGTGTAGGAGTTGAAAAACATTTCATAGTGCCCAATAAATAATCAAGCCTAACATTTCAGCAAACTTTTTTTCCCACATTCAGACACAAAAATCTTTACCATGCATGCAGGCTTATACCCAGTAACAGTACAAATCTGAAACCTGATTGAAGAAGAGAAGCACATTAACAAGTAAACACCCGTGGGCTCTTATCCAAAACACTGAAGCTGCCAGACACTTGAAAAGAGGGGCTAAGCTTAATTTAGATTTCCTACTGGACTGTAAAAAACAGGAGTCAGCCATGAGCAGGGGTCTTGTCTTCATAATCTAAGAAGCACAATTAAAGTCCCCAGTGCTGAAATTTATGACAAATTCAGATCAGAAAAGCTTGCAGGTGCACCAGGGGAGAGGAATATGAGTGTGGATGTCTACAGTAAGCTTTGGAAAAAGTGTGCCCTGGAAGTCAGAATGGCTCAACTGTTTTCAGGGTGAAATGCTGCAGCGCTGGAGAAGACCCAGTTCTCTGGAGCCAGGGGCTGGGGAGAAAGGCCGCCGGCCTCCAGGAACTATCTGGGCTGAGCAGGGGCACAGGGCCCGAGCCTCGGTGGTGGCCATGATATCATGAATGCATTCATGACTTTGCTCAGATAAATACTTCTTTTGGTTACTTTTTCCCCTAAAACGAATTGGTTATGCAAGTTGCTGTTGATTTCCCTAATGAAACATAGCTGCATTTTATCTGAAGATGTCAGCTAATTCATACTAATGCCCACCAGTAATCCTACTAAGTGTCAACTGCTGTTGCTGTTGAATCAATCCCCACATGCCCTAACTAGATAACCTACCACACTAGGTGCCTTTTTTTTTTTTTTTTTTTTTTTAACTATCTGGCGTTTTTTGAGCTTTAGAGAAATAGACCTTTAAAAATGACTTAGACATTGCTTCTCCCTGGCTTGGTTTCACTCTTCCTCCTCCTCCTCTTCCTCCTCCCCTTCCCCTTCTCCTTCCTCCATGGTTTCCACAATGAGCTCTGCTGTGCAGGTGGCTTCCCCAAGACTGTTGGCAGCCTTGCAGGTGTACTTGGCATCGTCATCCCCACAGACATCACTAATAATCAGAGAGCAGTTCCCGTCCTCATCGTAGTCTATTTGGAAGTGGCGCGACTCTCTGATTGACTGGTCATCTTTGAACCAGACGACCTCAGGGTCTGGGTATCCTGCACCATAGAGAGAGAACACAAGTTGCAGAATCTGTTATTCTGAGTTTCTTATCAGCTCATGTAAGTAGCTCTTAAGCCACCTCCATTGATTAAGGGGATCAAGGAAAAAATTGACATGTTGGCTTTTAGTATCAGTTTTGATATCTATATGAGAATATGGGCATTGTTGTACCAATACTAATAGATGAAACCCAAATTGGGTATTTTAAAGCTGTCCAGTTTTCACCCACGTTGTCCTTTCCCCACACCCTGCCTTTGGACAAAGAGAAAGCACTCCCTGAAATACTGCCCCAACATCTTACGCAAATATCTTCTTTGATGAAAATACATTTTTTTAAATCTTGCATAAAGGCTTAACTTAAATTTAAAAATCAGAGAACAAATGGGCACCAAGGATCTTTTTGGGATCCTGGATATTTGCCAAAAATGGATTGTGCTGGTGGCTGCATGACTATAAATATACTAAAAACAACTGTACACTTCAAAATTTATGGGATATAAATTATAAATCAGTAAGCAGAGTGACAGCTACATGAAACGTAAGATAGAAGAACTGGGAATATTGTTAAGAAAAAGAAAGCAGTATCTGTCTTGGGCTGATCCGAGGCAGGTAGTCTGTCTATAGATAATTGGAAATGATCCTCATTGGTTGGTCTCATAATATACATTAGTCCTGATTCTACAAAGCTCAATATTAAAAATATAAACCTCACATATATAAACACATATTGCATGTTTTGAAGGTACGTTTTTATATACACACATTACAGCCTGAGAAATTTGATCTTAAATTTTGCAGATTTTTAGAGGAAAAAATTTATAGTCCCAACCAGAAAAAAAAATAATACACAAGGTTTAAGAATCTTAACATTTTTTTCCAGTATAACTTTATTTCTTTATTTTCTTACTTGTACTACTGGGATTAAACATAGGGCCTTTGCACTGAGTTACATCTGCAGCCCTTTTCTTTTCTTTCTTTTTTTTTTTTTTTTTTTTTTTTGTCTTTTTTCCTTTTTATCGGTACCGGGGATCGAACTCACTACTGCTTGCTTGTAAGGCAGGCGCTTACACCGCTGAGCTAAACCCCCAGCCCCGCTCTTTTCAATTTAAAAAATTTTTTTTTGTTGGAGACTGGGTCATGCTAAGTCCCTAAATTGTCCAAGTTGGACTTGAACATGTGCCCCTCCGGCCTTGGCCTCCCAGAGTGTTGGGATTACAGGCTTATGCCACCACGCTCAGATAATTTTTATCAAAACAGCATCCATGTGTTTCAATTTCTCATTAGGGTTGCAGTCAAATATTAATGCAAATCCCAAAGAGAAAAGTTGGTACAAAAGATGGTAATCACTATGCAATATTAAAAAAAAATTTTTTTTTAAAAAGGAAAAAGAAAAGAAGCCCAGAAGACCTGGAGCCAATAGCAAGGGTTACGGCCGTGGCGCCACAGCTTTCGGCCAAGCCCCTAATCTAACAGCCTTACCAAAGGCAGTACGTTCGTTCATTTTGTTAAATCAGATGAAAAAGAAACAGAATGGCAGGCAAAGCAGTTACGAGATGTTTTGATGACGTGACGATTCAGGGGAAACTTGGTTTCCGTCCGTGTTGGGTTACCTGCGGAGCCCCACAGCTGACCGCACAGCTCAGGGTCACACTGCCTGCCTGCCGGGGAGATGTGCGCTGTTCTGACACGGCCCCGGTACGGCCCTTGCCCACTGCTGTTGCTCTGGGCACCACAGACCTGCCACTTGCCGGGCCAGCCCTCCACGTGCAGCCGCCCAGCTCACCTTCGATCTTGCAGTCGAATCTCGCAGCGCTTCCCTCCACGACTTCCAAGTCACGAATGGTCTTGGAGAAGTAGGGTTTCACGTGGGGCTTCTCCTCGGCTACGGCCTCGAGGAAAGCCTGGGAAACATCTTCTACAAGACAGGGACAGGGCTAGGTCAGTGCTTCCTCCCTTGTGCTCTCACTCCACTCCCCTCCTTAAGAAAAAGTTGCTGTAATTTAGAAACTGAGAGAAGTGAATCACAGCATGCCTTTCTCTCGGGAACAGGCTGGCTGGCTGCCAGGTGCGTTTTGGCAGCCAGTGAAACTGTGCCCAAAATGGGGCGATGTTCAGCCTCCTCTGCCTGATGCTGACACATTGAAAAAGGGAATCGTCTTTAAAAAGGATCTTTGGCTGCACTTGGTGCTGCTTTAGGATTCAGCTGAGGGTGTGTGGTAAGGGCAGAGCCTTGCCAGGATTGCTAACGTGGGTGTCCTTCATCCTCCGGCTGTGGCAGGTCCTGCCCCTGTCCCTTAGCAGGGAGGAGCCAGGTGCTCCTTAGTTGAAGGAGCCATCGATTTGCTAACATTCTCTTCTCTACACTCTTAGTCTTCCTTTTGGGTGACTGTGGGTCTGGTGAGGGACAGATCCAGAGAGAAGCTGGAAGCTTGCGGATGCCTGTGGATTCTTCCCTCCCTTCAGGATCTTCCTGAGTCCTCTGAGAGGAGGAGCAGGAGTGGCTCAGCAGGGGCCAGACCCCTGTGCTGCACCCGCTTCCTGGCACAAGGAAGCTTCAGGCTGCCATCTTTGGGCCTTACCAGCCATCCTGCCTTGGTGCACAAGCTTCTCACCTGTGGGTGCCAAGAGCACCAGGCCGTGTGGGGCAGGGTGTCCCTGGCCAAGTGAAGCACCTCGGGAAGAAAACGAGGGCCAGCCCTGCATGTCTTGAGGAAGAGCTCAGGGAAGCGACCAAAAGGCAGTGGACCAGGCTCCAGCCCTGCCCCTCCAGGAGGGGTCTGCCCACGGCGGGCTGCTTAGTCCCAGCTCATCTCAGCAGCGTGGACGAAGGCCAGGCAGGGGACCAGAGGAGTTAATTTTTGTTCAGAACAAAAACACAGGACAGTAGAAATGGAAGGATTATAAAGAATGGTACACAGCTAACTATGTAATTTTTTATGTCTGCCTATCAACAAGTTCACTTTTATAATACAAAAAGGGAAGCTTTTAATAAAGCCTTTGTTAATTCTTATACCAAAGATAAGGAAAGAATAGTTTGTTTAGTTATATTAGACATAACTTTCCCTCTGAAAATAGTTAATATACAGTTAAACAATTAAAGAATAATTACTAGACTTAGTAGTTGTCAAGGCAACCCAAAAGTATTTCTGAATTTATCTTTGAAAAAAGAAAACCAAACCTCAAATCCTTAAAATGCTCCTTCATCCCCAACTCTTTGTTTTTTCCTCCCTCCCGCCTTCCTTTCCTCCTTTTTTCCTTGGCAGGACTGAAGATTAAACAAAGGGCCTTCATGCTGAGATATACCCACACCTCCCCTTTTTAAAATTTTTGTTTTGAGACTGGGTCTTGCTAAGTTGCTAACTGCCCAGGCTGAGCTGCAACCTGAAGTCCTCCTGACTCAGCCTCCCCAAGTGCTGGGATCACAAGTGTGAGCCCCCGTACCCAGCTGTACCCCCAACCCCTTCCTTCACACCAGGCAGCTGAGAAATTCTCCAGGCGCTCTTACCTTCCGTTTCTAGTTTCTCTGCATTGAGGGGACTGGTTGGTGATCCTGTTGAGGACTTCCTGCCACTGAGCCCTGAGATCATTGCCATAGAGGACAGTCTTCCAATGGCTCTCACAGCATTGCCTGTTTTCTGGAAAATAGATGCAGTTCGGACTCAGGCGGCGTCCCTGGTTCCAGTGGGGCAGTGCTGGGGATTCGGGGACAAGAGCCCAGCTCAGAGGGGCAGCTGCCCCCCGATCTGAGGGCTTCTGGGGCTGAGCGGTGCAGAGGTTCTGCCCGAGGAGCGAGCCTGGCCTCACTCTGCTCAGCACTATCAGTGTGTCAGAAGATGTTCGGAGAATGGAATGGGGCCTGGAACTGATGTGCGCCTTAATGTGACTAAACAAGGTCAACATGAGACAAAAACCCTTTTCATACTGTGCTTCAACTCCCATAAAAGGGATAGTTTATATAAAGCAACTGCGGGCTGAGACAGCTCCAAAGACTTATTGCTGACTGGGCCCGGTGGGGCTGTTTCTCGTAAAACAATGCCAGTGATAGGAGTTTAATTGGCCAAGAGAATCATTACTACAGATCCCATGGGTCATGATGCGAAAGGAAAGAGTGCTCTACTGACCTTGGGCAGCCACTTAACCTCTCAGGCTTTAGCTTCTTTCTGTGTATTACAGGGAGGAGCGAGATGATCTCCAACATCCCTCTTCCTGTGTTTATGATTCGGAGAATTAAGAGATTTTGAGAAACACTAGGGCTGGCTCCAGCACAAGTGGTCACTGTGCAGTGGAGTCCAGAGGGGTGTCCATCCCAGTGTCCATTTAGGCTTTTAATACTGGCACCCAAATAGGCAACTTGGGGAAGGACAGAGTTTCTGTTGAAAGGACCAGAAACTGAGATGTAGACTTTTTTACATTGTGAAAATTCTGCCCAGCACAGGGTTTAGGTTAAGAAGTCTTTACTGTGTATACTTATGTCTCATCCTTTAATGAACTTATCCTTTTTCTAGGGTCAGTGGGCATGGCTAAGGAAGCTACGGCAACTGGATCTTTCTACCTCTCCCCCGTAATATCTTATTTCAGTATCCAGAAGCTGGGTAGCCACAGACCAGCTGTCACCACAGTCTGCCTGCCTGTTCTCTCTCACAGAGTAAGGAAAGAACCTCTTCTCAGGAAGTTGCCTGGCTGTCACTTGCTGGACCTCAAGCTGTGCCGGCAAAGCCATTTCCTCTCAGACTAACTTCACACCCTCAAGAATCCTCATAGTTTTGACCACCTGGAAGGCTAGTGTTTTCAGTAGAATGATTTGTTTCTGCTGGAAAGGTGTGTGTATGTGTGCGACCTAAGCAGACCTATAGTTGCAACCATGTTTTTCTGTCATGTCCCCTGTTCTGCATGTTGTGGACAGTTTCTGTGCCCATAGGTCAGACATTCCAACCTTTAGTATCCACCCTCTGACCCACAGCACTGACTGTGTGTGCATGGATGTATTTGTGGCCATTTGCGGCCCCAGGTGGGGTCACTCTGAACCCAACCCAGGAAGCCCCGATGGGGCGATGAGGGGGACACAGTGAGATGCCAATGAGCAGCAGCACGACCCGAGGAGTGCACCCCTGCAGACAGCCGTGTGGCAGCCCCACACAGGCTTCTGGGACCGGCTGTCACTGGTGGCCTGCAGATCTGCTTGCTGGCTAGCTGGAGTGCGGAGGTACCCCTGAGCTCATGGGCTCCCTAATTCCAGATCCCTGGACTTGGACTTAGTAGGACAGAAAAAAAAGATACCTTTTCTTGGATTATTTTGGAACAGAATGCCTAACAAAACTGTCAGAATGAGGCAAATAAAAGAGAGATAATTTTCAGAGGAGAGCCGAGGATATAGGCGCACAAGCACCTGCCTGGCAAGTGTGAGGCTGCGAGTCTGATCCCCGGCACAAAAAACAAAATAAAACAACAACAAAACCGACAAAAATTCAGAGAAGATAGAAAATACGTTAACAAGCAAATAGATCTAATAGGTGTAGATATTTAGTACATGTTTCCTAAACAAGGAGCAACACAAGTAGTTAATAAGGAAATTTTAAGAAATAATCTACAATGGAATCCATCTTTGGGTACTTATTTGTGAAAAATCCCTGGTAAGAAAGTTGTTTGTTAGAAGTAGAGAAGAACTATTTATGTCCTATATTTCCAGTTTTCTACCTTTCAACTAACAATTGGTTGTTGCTTTACTAAGAGAATGGACCAGCATGACTAGGTACAGGAGCCCTGAAATGAAAACAGCCAAATTTCAGCTCTCTGACTTCCATCCTTGTTTTGAGAAAACCTTTTTCTCATGGGAGGGCAACTAGTGAAGCTAAGTTCTTGTGTCTCTAGTGGGTGGCATTTGCCAGGGCTCGCTTGAATGCAATGCAGATGCCCTTGGAGAGCCTGCTAGAATGACCAGGGAAATCACTTTGCCCAGGACTTGGGGTTTTCCAGTGCTTATTCCAGAGGGTCCCTGGAAAACTGAGGCAAGCTGGTGACCCTAGTAACTGCCAGCCATCAAGATTCTGCAAACGTGCCAAGAGTTTCAAGACTGCAAGTTCCCCAGATATGTCCCCTGATAACATCAAGCGTGATGGCCAAGAACACTCTGTGCTCTATTCCGTCTAATGCTTTCTCCTCTGTTCCCTTTGGTCCATTCTGCTGGGGTTTTTGTAGTTTCTAGAAAATAAAGGTAGTTAAACCATAGCTCTCTAGTTCCTAATTGTTTGCAAGCAGAAGCCCTGTCACCTCATCTGACTTATCTTTACTGCCAATCCTTAACAAAATGTCGTTGTGAAATTCTTTCAATATGAATTTAAAATCAATCTTTCAGAATAACTGAATTGTAAAGTGAGTAACATGATTAAGCATCTATATCCAGCCGGGCTTGTTTGTAGGATTTGTTCTCCTGTACCTCCTCTTTCCCAGGGTGTTTTATGGACACCAGAGCACCAGAACAGTTACGATGCTTCCTCCTGAGTTAGCTGGGCCACCGGTTCCTGCTGTGCTCTCCTCCCTGCATCAGCCCGCCACATACTGCTCTGAGTCCTTCCTCCCCTGACCCACCAAACAGAACCTGGGCTGTGGAGAGAGGGAACCCCCTCGTCCAGGGACGCTAAGGTCCTGAGTGTCGAGATAAAATGTGGAAAACATTTTCCTAAGGAAGTGACCTAACATAGCAGGTCGAATGCAGCTCAACCATTACCATGAAATTACACTTCAGGGACATTACACGGGGAGTGGGATGTTGTCGACTACTTGTATATCCAATTTTGTGAAACTCAGCTGCTGATTTTGCAGAAAAATGATTTTGAAATGCTTTTACTAAGATGGAACTAAGGTTCCTTCCCTGAGGTCTTTCCTTTTCCTTCCCTAGCCTTCTTCCAGAAGCCTCTATGGCTAACGACACTAGAAACAATGAGAGGAAAAGCTAAGTAATGAAAGCATTGCACCAGCTGTGACTTTCCGACTGAGCAGACTGCAGTACTCCACTGGCCTCCGCCAGCTCCTTTTCTCTTCACCTGCTCCCGGGTCCAGGCACCCTCCTGGTTCTGAGCCACCTGCAGGTGTTGTGAGATGATAAAGCCACCCTTTAACCCGCAGCCTCGTCCAAGTGAGATCCAGTGAGACTTGCTGCTCCGAGGACCACCCTACCCAGACACCAGCTGCCCTATTTTTCCAGAATTAGTGCTTTGAGATCTGTAGGTAAGAGGATCATTAACAAAACCAACCCTTGATTTTTGTGGGCCCTTCCTTTTTTTGAAAGAGCATTTGCTACTCTGATTGTGAAGGCCCCAGAAGGTAAGCAGAATAGATGTTCCAAAGCACTTCGCATTTGTGGGGCCAGCAGATGCAGCCCGCTGCCCACAGGGTTAGGGGATGTGTGTTAACCATGAACTGACTTCCCCTGCAGAGGAGCTCTGGCTGCCTCGGGAGAGGACGGAAGCCCTGTGAATCCCTCTCCTGTAGGCATTTGTGCTTCTCTATCCCTCTCAACCTCTGTGTGCAGCTACCCTTTGGAGGGAATTGTGGTTCCGTCACGTGGCACATGCCCAGTGTCCCCATGCTGCATTATAGGATGTCCCTTGGTCCCCCAATCTCCAGCTAAAGGCTCCGTTCTTACGTAGCCCAGCACCACAGGTGGGTCCAGTCCCTCTCTGTCTTCTCTGCTGTGCTGTTGTTCTTTCTTCTCTGGGCTCGCTCTAGCTCATGTTCCATGCTTAATTGTGACTCCTGCCCCTGGTGGAGTCGTAACCACATCCACTCTGGGTACACGCAGCCCGTCTCCTGTCCCACTCACATATATGGTTATGGAGCGCTATACCGACAGTTTATAATTCCTGATGTGCTGTATGTCCTTTTATGTCTATCTGCTTCAGGCCCCCACTGCACTATACATCCCTGAGGATGGAAATCATGTCCTCTCCAGCAGCCCAGGAAGTCTGTAAAACAAACAGCGAAGTAGGGGATGGTACTGCTAAGGGCGCTACGGTTTGGGATTATGATTGCATAGTTTTTAGATAACAGTTTTATCCATCTCGTATCAGAGGCAGTTCTGTGTTGCTGTTAAGACTGTGTGCTTTGGGGCCAGCTTCTGGCCTTGAGTCCTGGCTTTTCACACTTGGCTATGTAACCTCCTATCTCACTTCGTCTGTACTTATCTCCTAATAGTACCTGTCTCCTAAGACTGAAAGATTTCTTAAAGACTCTTTTAAAATGTAAGATCAAAACATTTAGTGCATGGCAAGTACTTTGAATAGTCCCTGACTCATGGCTAGCCCCCCGCATATCAGCTACTGATAGCATGTTACAGTGCTCTATTGCCACCAGTATGTATTAAAGTAAAATGATGACTGTCACATGTAGTTATCAGCAATTCTGGAAAGCTGCAGCATCATCCCTGCCACCCCGACATGAGAACACAAATTCACAGCAAGGTTAAGTCACCTGCCTGAAAACACATAGCGAGGAACAGCCAACCATCACGCTACCCATCAGGAGCTATCTCTTCCAGGGTTGCCAAACAGACCTCAAGGGGAGGCTGCTCCTCCCTTTCCTGAACACATGAGATATCTGTGTTTAGCAGGAATGAACACAGGGCACACCAGGGCACACCAGGCCCCCTTGCTGGACACCTGGGACCAAGATGGATGTGTTTGGAGAGACTGTTATGCTTGAGAAACTGATTTCCTCTGTGAAAAAGACTGCACTAAGGACCCAGTTCAACACTGTGCCTTAATCAGCTTCCCCAAATTGGTCTTGGATTATTTCAGCAACAAATTGTTATTTTGTTGGAGTGAAATCACGGAAAGTTGAGAGTCAGAGTAGCTGAATAAAACCAATTTGATGAGCAGCATCCCAGTCCAAACGAGTCCCACATTACCTGCCATTTCCTCCTTGCCATATACTTCTTCATCCGGTCTTTGGACAACTTCTTGGCCTCCATGTTTTTAGTATCTTTCATTAGCCATGGATGCTGAAGACACTCGGTACAGTTCAGGCGATTTCTGATAGAGGCAGAAATTGGAAGATTTCTGAGCAGAAGACCTCAGACACTATGTTCAGATCACTAACAGGAGGTCACCTTCCCCTACACAGGGAAGGCCGGGCTTCCTATTCTCAGTCCATCCACTGTGATCATAGTCACTGTGCACTGATCTTCTTCCTCTGTTGGTCTGGGTTATCCTGACTAGACCCCATGTAGGCCAGAGTTGAGAAACCTTAACCACTAGGAAAGCAACTGGACCTGGTGACCTGTGCTTGGGGTTCTGGAAGGGTAAGTGCTTATAAGATAGAAAGTCTGCGGATGATGACTGGCGCCATGTGCTTGGCTGAGTTCGTCTGCAGGTGGCTTGAGGTCTGGGCCTATCAAGGCCTAATCCTGCCTTTCCACTGGGGGAGGGGAGACTGAAGAGCTACGCGAAGACCTCGGAGAATCCTCACTTCTCTTGGGCCTTAGGGTGTGGTTGAGTATCATGTTTTTCCTGTTACAGTTTAAAGAGTTACATTCTACTTACAACCTGTGAATTCTGGCAACCTTAGAACTGTGCTGAAACTCATTTCATCTTTCTTAAAGCTCTAGAAATATCTCAGAGTTGTCATCTTAATTGTAACAGGCCTAATAAAGCCCAAAGAACCAAATGCTAACATACATAGAAAAATGGCAGGAAAGAAGTATAGCACAGTGAAGTGGTCTTTAAAGAAAGGGAGCATAGATGCTTTCCATTTTCTTACATTCTTCAAATATTCTATAATTTATGTTTTACTTATAATAGGAAAAATTCTTAAAAGTGCTGACAGAGGTTTCTGCTTGAAGAGGTGCTGGGTGTAACAGTTTATGAGAACCTAGTGTTTTGATCTACTTAAGATCAGTTCTTTGGTTGAGTCCATTGTGTGAGCACAAAGGAGCCTAGCATTGTGTATTATTCAGTTCATTTAAGGTCAGATGAGAAAATAAAGATATATGCACAATATCCCATTTACCAAATCTTCATCAAATGAAGTTTAATTGACAAAAACTGTCACTGAACCAGAGTTACTTGGAGGAACGTTTTTGTCTTGGGTATGGAATATTGCTCACCTTGGAAGGGCATCTAGACCCCCTAGAACATCCCAGTTCTTCTTGGGTTGTGTCCATTTCTGATGCAATGATTGACAACAGAAGTCTAAAAGACTGTACTGGCCAGGAATATAGAAAGTCACCTCCAGGGGAGTTTGGCCCTGAGATGGCTGAAGAGGACCGTAAGACGGGTGGGTAACTGGACATAGCTATCTAAGAGACTATAGCATACTATAGCAGCAGTGGTACAATATTGCCCCAAATAGCCTTTCTCCCAGGAGGGAGCAAGAGGCAGCCTCAAAGGGCCCACAGAGCAGAGAGACAGGCAGACCTTAGGCTGTAAGTCAATGTGAATGCTAGGACGCACCTTTCCCCTTCTCCCCTAAAACACCTATTTCAACACTGCCCTTCATGGCAGGCCTACAACTGCTCCCACTGCCAAATCCGACTTAGCTCACTGGGGCTCCTGGACCATCTGGCCACCTGTTATCTGAGTAAGAAGCTTCTAATAGGCAGGAAGTCTCACCTGAGTTCCCACAGCTCCCTGTCCCCAGGCACTTCTCTCTACACACAAAGAGCCGGTTCACCTTGTTGCTCTAATCCCGCTGATTCCACTCACGAGATAGGGGCCACCAGTAAGTTCTTCATGGCCCAGCCATCTCCTTTACTCCAGTTTCCCTTCCCCACCCAGCCTCCAGGTCTGATTCAGACCTCAGGGGATGTCACCAGCATCTGATCTTTCTCCTTGCGCAGCTTGGCTGTCAGACAGCTGGACATGCTGATCGTCTACTGTGTTCTGGGTTAGAAGGAACTGGGCCACATTATCTAAATCACTTTTGCATTTAGATGCAAAAAAATTGCCAAGCTAGAATAAGGGTATGGTGAGGGCCGTCCCACAGTGCCGAGTTCCCTGTGCCATGTGCTGCAGTGTGTGGAGAAGGCGCGTCCCCACAGGCCCTAAGGAGGGGCCGAGGTGTCAGAGAGCTCCCACAGGCCACCACCACACACAGCATGTAACAGGGTGACACACAGGCTCCCCGCTCCTGTAGCCCTCCCGCAGGGTTCGCCTTCCAAGTTGGGTTTCTGTGCTTTTAAGGCTGGTGATGGTGTCTGGTGCGGGAGCAGGGCTGAGGGACGCTCCCCTCCCCGTCCCCCCTCCTCGGCACAAGGCCTGGCCTGGCCCCCCAGAGTGAGGTGGGAGTCCCCGGCAGGGAGGCCTGTTTCCCACACTGTTCAGGGCTGGGGAAGTTGAACGCTCTGAAATCTCAGCGGTTACTTCATGTCTTTCTTCAGCAAGTTGCTGATGAAATCCTTGGCATCCTCAGAGATCTCATCAAACGCCTCATCGTCGAAGTCCCAGGTGGCTGAGGTCACATTGGCTAAGGTCTCATTGTCATTGTCACCCATGAAAGGAGAAAGGCCGCTGACCCTGAGGAGAAAAGCAAGAGAGCAGGGGTGAGGGAGATGGTGAGGGTGGGGGGACACTGCTCCCGGTGAGTGCTGAGGTCAAAGAGGAGCCCGGAGGCTGCCAGCTCCCAGACACAACGACTGCCTGCGTGCACCTGCCTTTCCTCCCCCTGAGAAAGGAATGAGGTGGGCTTGCAGGGGCCTTTGTGGCTCATCTTTTCCTGGTTGTTCAGTGCAATTAAGCACTGTCCCTGGCATCCTGCCTCTGCCTGCCTGTGAGGCTGGGTGGAAGAATGGCTTGGTTTCCAGGCTAGGTTGTCTGCCGTGCTTCCCGGGTCCTGGGCTGCACCCAGCCCTCACGGAACCTTCACAGGCCCCTTCCTCCTGCGTTCGGTTCTGCCCTGCACCACAAGGGCTCTCTGGGGCTGTGAATGCCGCCTTGCCCTTCTGAGTTCTCCCTCCCATCTCTGAGCCTTCAGCTCGAAGAGCACAGGGGAGGCTCAGCTTCACCAACCTGTGCCTGCAGGAATACTTCTTTACCAACAGCCTAAGCGAAGCAGATTTAGAAAAGAGAGGCGCTCAAAGCCAGATGGGGCCACTGAGCCCTAAATCAGCGAGTCTCCTCTTTGTACTGTCAGTCCCCGCTGTGCCTGCTGACCGAGGGCCTCCTCCACGATGTGTGACCTGCACAGCTGCCTGTAACTCTGTCTCAGATGGACCCACACTTGGTTTCATGTTCTGGGCCACTATCTTGGAATTCTTGACACTGTTTTAAGAAGTGGCCTCACCTTTTGATTCTGCAAACTACGTAGCTGGTCTTGCTCTGACTCTGTCTGAACCCTACATGATGAATCTGGGGGCTCTCAGCTGGCAACCTCTCAAGTTAGGGCTTTATTAAAGTCCTTCCTCCTGAATGAATCCTTCACCATAGACAATAAGCCAGACACAGCTTCTGGGACTGTTCTGGCATTTGAGAGCCTCTGGCTTTTGAAACCAAACACTGAGTTGGCAGAACAAAGCCTACTTGAAAATATTGGGAGAAATTTCATGATGGTAAAAACCCTCCAGTGAACACTTTTATAAAGAGAAGGAAGCTTCTGAAAAGTGAATTAGCTCATCCTAATAAACATATTTAGTTTTTGAATAATAGACTTTCATAGCTGGTTTTTCTTAAAGCAAGACATGGATTGATATTTTACAGAGGCAAAGAGATAATGGCTGTCTACCATATTCCCATGAGGGAAGGGTGGAAGTTCACCAATCTGCAATTATGTGCTACTCCCTTCTCCTTTCTGGCCTCAGTTTCCCCTTATCCATCAAGCAGACTGGACCTGATTCCTAGGGCCTCCCAGCTTGGCCCATCTCTGCAAGCCCCACCAGGAAGAACCTCCCTCTGCTCCTTAGCTCCTGCTGCTTCTTATCTTTGCATTTTCTGTCAGAAGTAGTGAGGGGGAAAGTCCTACAGCACTGCAAAAGATGGCAGGAAGGCAAATCGCCCTGCTGTGGAATGCTCCTTTCCTAATTAGGAGCTGTCATCCTGCAAAGATAGGCCTTAATCTGCACTGTAGGCTAGCACAGGGGGAGCCTCCTGGCCTCTGGCCTCTGGCCCTCTTCCCTCAGCTCAGCTATCTGAGACACCTTTCCGTCCTGGCTGGCTTGCCTGTCTGGCTGCCACATCATTTTCCACACCAAAGAGTGTGTTCCTGGATAAAATGCAGAATATCTGCATATAAAGCATGATGAGACTATTCACATTTTTAGTAAGGCTGTTTCTGAGTGGTAGAGTTTTCCTGAATTTTCTCTGAACTTTCTTTTTTGGACTATATTGCAAGAACTTCCAATAAAGGATCATGGGTGTTTTTGTTTGTTTGTTTGCTTGCTTTTTCTTTTTTTGGTACCAGGGATAGAACTCATGACCTGTGCTTGCCAGACAGGCATCTGCACCACTGAGCTAAATCCCCGGGCTGGATCATGTGTGTTTTTAAAACTTTGTTAGTACATGTTTGTAGTACATCATAAATACATTCATTCTGGCTAGTTAGTAGGCGTACACGACACATCTTATTTCTTTCTGTCCCTTTTCCTCCTCCCTTCCCCCTCCATCTCTTCGTCCCCTTCCTATTTGCCACAGGCCTTATCCTCTTATTTCCTACTATTTACCTTTTCTTTTAAAAATTCAGCATTTATTTTAAAAAATCAACAAACTGACAAATATTTTACTGTTATCAGCAAGACACAACTCTTTCTCCCCTTCCTAGCTTAGTTAGTCTTTAACCAGCAGATTTATCTGGTCTTTACAAAATGGCCATCAGTCCAGAAAGGTTTGGATGAGTTTCAAAGGTTGTGACTGCAGAGCCATCTAATTTCTCCTTTTCTCCTCCTCCTTTTGGTGGGGCATCTAACCTGGACCTTTGAGCACACCTGGCAAGCCCTCTACCACTGGGCTCCAGCTCCAGCTCTGATTCCTGGATTCCTAATCTTTCTGCAACCTGACATCCTCGGCGAACTGGATGGGAGCCTTGTCTCCTCTGGAAACAGAATAGCAGGGTGCAGAGTACAGAAGTGCACTTGGGCCACACTTTTCTGTGTCGCATTTCAAGCTGAGGACAGGTAAGGGGAGCACAGGTTTGCAGGCAGAGCTATTACATGCTTAGGAAGGGTTTCATCTGCACCCCCATTGTAACCTTTAGACACCCCTGTGAGATGTCTGAGAGACAGAGAGAGAGAGAGAGAGAGAGAGAGAAAGAGAGAGAGTGTGTGTGTGTGTGTGTGTGTGTGTGTGTGTGTGTGTGTGTAGGGCAGGTCTCCAGGGAAATTAAGCAGAGTTGTGTGTGGTGGTCAGGAAGCAGCAGCCTGCCTGGTCTTCAGTCATGTCCACTATAGCCCAAGTGCCCCGACAGGAAAACCTGCAAGGGGGGCAGGGCTTGGTGAGGCAGCAGGGCAGCAGGGCAGTGATGGAGAGCACTTCTGGGCTCAGCCCTGGAGAGGCCGGGCAGCCCTGGGAGGAAAGGCAGGGCGTCCCAACCCCAGCTGCGGAGGGAGGGAGGGAGGCGGTGCCTCAGGCTGACAAGGATAAACAGCTCCTCTGCCTCGTGCTCCTCCCTCCTTGGGGGCAGCCCCTCACTCCCCGAGTGCTCCACACATGAGCTGGCCAGGCAGATGACAGGGAGCAAGAATGGCCAGTAATTCCTCCTCCTCAGTTTGCGGGAGGGAGAGTGGCAGAGCAGGGCCCAGGCGGGGTGTGGAGGACTGTAGCTTCACCAAGGCGGCCAGGGAACACCAAGTGCCTGGGGACACAGGGAGGTGGGTGGTGGAAGGGAAGAAGGCTCAGAAGAGAAGGTGGGCTGGTAGGGGCTCCACGTGGGGCTGTGGCCCAGAGCTCCTCTGTACTTTCTCTCTCTGCCAGAAAGCCAGGGGGCCTTGCTAACTTCAGCAGGCCTCCAGGGAGATCCCGTAAGTGGCAGCTGGCTGAGAGGACCAGCAGGGAGGAAGCAGGGACGGGAAGCGCCTGCTCCAGAGGCTGGGCTGGTGAAGGAGTCCCCAGTGCAGGCTGATCAGCCGGTGAGGACTTGGCAGGTTTCGGGAGCTGCTGGAGGCACTCACCAAACAAGCTGAGCCTTACCCTGGCCCCCACCCGCTCTCTGGCCCCAGGAAGGATATTAGAGGGTTTCTCTGTGTGCAGGCGAAGTAGCCCAGAAAGGGACTGCCAGATGAACAGCCTGGCTTGTCCACAGTGAGGCAGAGGCAGGGCACAGGATGCCCGAGGTGCCTGAGAGCTGCTGCTGGGCATGCATTTCCCTGCCTTTCCCATGCGGGGACCTGCATGGCAGGGCTAAGGGAAGCCAGCTGGCTCCGATGATTTTTATTTTTAGCACGGCATGCTCTGGGAGAGCCCTGGTTTCAGAGGTAACTCCTCGGCCCCAGGAGCAAGGAGGGAGCAGCGCAAAAGGGTCCCCGAAGAGGCTCACAGTAGGGTCAGAAGCTGTACAGAGCTAAGCCAGAGGGAAGCCAGTGCCGGTCACCAGCTCCTCTTCATGCGCCTGCCACACACTCCTCTCCCTTCCGATGTCCCTGTGCAGCCGCCTGCAGGCTGGGCCCTCATGTACCACCACAATTCTCCCAGTTTCAAATCTCTTTCCTATTTCTTGGTGTTAGCTTTGAAAGTAATGTAGTCAGCAGCGTGGCAAAGCATCCAAAATACCACGTTCCTCCACATGAAAGAATTTTCGTTTTAAAGTGCTATGCTTCAGTGGCCCAACAATTCTAGTTCTAGATCATAATCTGACAGAAGTGCATGGATGTGTTCCTGAAAACACAAGACTGCAAGTGACAAAGAGCCTAGGGATATAGAGGGGCTAAATAGACTGGATTATGTCCACTCAACAGCATTCTGCACGGCATGGAGCAGGATGTCTCCAGCTGCTTACGTTCACATGCGAGTTCATCTCACAGTGGCCAGCAAAAGCAGCCATGTTCTTCCTGGTGATTTCATTTATACAAAGCTGAAGGCCAGGCAGCACTAATCTATGATAACAGACGTGAGGGTGACCACTGTCTCTGGAGGACAGTCACTGGCAGGGGGCATGGTCCTGATCTGGAGGTGGGGCACAGGAGGTGTTTCCTGAGATAACTTGTTAAGCATTAACAAGCATTGTTAACTTGTTAAGCACTGCTATCAGGGTCCAGAAAGCAGTTGTCTTACTCTGACTGGGACTGTCCCCATTTTAGTAGTCCAAGTCCTGGAAAGCTGGTCACCTGCCCAGACTGTGGCCCCAGTGCCCAGTGCCATCAAACTTCTGCCATGACCCACTTGTAGGTTTGTGCAGTGAGGTCTCACAGAGGGGAGGAAAGGGACCCACAGGGACTTAGCCTGGACACAGGGCAGTGGGGTCTGAACACAGCAAACTGTCGAGGACGCCTTCTGTAGGGTCAGGTTATTTCCCAAGGCTCAGAGATCCATGTGAGCACCGGCCAGGCCCAGGGCAGCTGCACCCTGATCTCCCTGGGGGCAGCCAACTATCCTTATCAGTGCCCCCTCCTGGAGGGTGCAGGCATGGGAAAGGCAGGGAAATGCATGCCCAGCCTGCAGTTTCTCTCTGTCCTGCGGGCTGGGGGAAGGCTGCAGTGAGGGGTGACTCTGGAAAGGGAAGCAGGTGACTAAGGAAGAGAAGACATGGTACAGATTCGGCTGAGGAGGGAGACTGTCCTCGAAGGCCACAGTGAACCTAAAACTCCTGCACACTTGAGACAGCCCCACCAACCAGTCACCCCACTCTGGCCTAAGTGGTTCCTAACTCTGAGGTGCACCAGAATCATAATAGCCTTTTGCTAACCTCAGGCTAAAGATCCTAGGGACCTAAGAAACTATTCTTTGAGGCCCCCCTCATATTTTCTATGAAAACATTTACTTTCCCTTTGGTCTTGATGATAGAAGTAGTTTTGAATAGATGTTATTCACTGCATCTTTGGGGACACCAGCGCATAACTTGTGTGCTGCCCCAGTTTAGGGGCTGCCTCTGGGCATAAAAGCTGCCTGGATCGAGGGTTCAGGACTCAGTGAAGCCTGAGGGTCCCTGGCGCAGAGCGGAGACACCCAGGGACCTGTTGAAGTACAGAATCTCAGGCTCCCCAGAGCTCAGCCAGACCTGCGCCTGTGCCTAGGGCTGGTGGCTCTGCAGGCTTGCTGGCCTCTCCTTTTCTCTATCACTGTTTACCTGAATGGCCTCGACTGCTGCCTGATTTGCTGGTTCTAAACACTGCGCTGCTTTCTGTTGTCTGCTGGCCCTCCCGGAAGGCGCTTCCCACAAAGTGCCCACTACTCAGCACACACAGTGAAGTCAGAGGTGAGGCTGGAGTTGGGTCCCCATCCCATGCTGATGGGCTGCTGCCCTCAGAGGATAATACAGACTCCCAGAGACATGCACCTGGCTCCCTCCCTCCTCTTCCTGGGCCCACTGACTGTGAGGGCACCAGCTGTATTTCCCAGTCTGTGAGCTCTGGGGACCTGGGGCCTAAGGTCTCGGGGGCCCGGCATGTGTGCTACTCCATGTTGCTACAAGAGGAGGTGCAGACCACTGATCACTGGGAACCCAGGGACAGATGGGCTGGCAGGGACAGGAATGGCAGCTGTCACCTGTTCTGCTGTAAGCCGGGCTCCCCATCATGACCCCCCCCCCATAACATCACAGCAGCCTGGCACCCTGCTGTGGGACTCTCCGTCCCCTCCCCGAATGCCACAGCACTCACAGGATATAGCAGATGACCCCGATGCTCCACATGTCTGTGGCGTAGCCAATAGGTTCATAGTTGATCACTTCAGGAGCCACAAACTCTGGGGTGCCAAAGAGGACCTTCAGAGACCCCGCATTCTCTGAAACCAGGACAGAGAAGGGTCCATCAACAGTATAAATGGGCCAGTTCAGCGTAAGCACCTGTCCTTGTCTGTGTGACGGGCTCCAAACCAGAAGGGGCACAGACAAGGGTTCAGCCCAGGGATGTCTCTCCGTGGATAGTGGCACAGACTCCTGGCCTGCTCGTTAACAGTGACAAGTCCACCAGTGACACCAGGCCTCATAAGGTCTGAGTGGTCAAGAAGGGGAGGAAAAGGCCCTTATGGCACCTACCCAAGTGGCCTTTCCTGTGTCTGGGTCCCCTGTGATGTAAGTTCCCCAAGGGAGTGATTGTGACTCGTGCTTAATAACCTGATTCACTGATGCTGACATGCTCTATGTCCTGTGTGCCCCACTCTCAGCTTCACAGGGATTTCCCTACTTAATAAGCTCAACAATCCTGAGAAGCGGGCACAGTGCCCAGGCACAGTGCCCAGGTATGGCACACCTGAGAAGGGGAGCCCAGGGAAGTAAAGTGACTTCCTCACCTGGTTCATCCACGGTGGCGAGGACCTGAACCCACGCAGTCTGACCCCTCCACCCCACTCCACTCCCCTCTACTGCTTCTCCTATTTATCCCCTAGCTTCATGTCTCCCGGGAGCCACAGGGACCATAAAGGATAAGAGATGTTGTCAGTGTGCCCTAAAGGCAGGCACCAGCAGTTGCGAGTGGAAAGCCCGTGACTTAGGAGCCACATCTGGCCTTGTTGAGCTCTGCAACACCCATGCACATGTTCTAAAGTGAAACGCTGCTGCTCTCCCAGCGTGGAGGCCCTGCTCCAACTCCCACTTCCCCCTCCTGCGGCATCCTGACCGCTTCCCCCTTCCCTGGTCCTTGCCGAACACTGCTGTTCCCACAGTGCCACATACCAAGAAAACCCGAACTTTGTGTTCCCGGGGTACTGATGCTGCCGGCTGTCCAGGTCTGTGCTTCCCTGTTTGTTTAATTATTAGTGGTCATTGTCCAGAGCAGACCCCATATAGGGGCTGCTGTCCGTCTAGTCCCTTCGGCAGGAGAGAGCAGGCACGTTGCCTACGTCAGGGTGCACTGCTGGCCTGACCACGCTGATCACCAAGCAGGTCAAGGGCTATCAGCACCTCACTCCCTCATGGTCCTCAACCAGATCTGCAGGGTGACACTGGCTCCTCACAGTATCCACCCCACTGCCCGCTTCTGCTTAGTGCACAGACAGCAGAGAGGCGTGGCAGCCCCCCGAGGTGGGCCTGTGCATGCCATGCCAGCCCAGAACCTCCTCTGCTCGTGGTAGGGCATGGTAGGCAAAGCTGAACGTTAGTCTTCTTGTGTACAAACTACAGCTCAAAAAGTCTGCCCTGCCTCTGTCCCAGTGACAGTCAGTGAGCTTTTTAAACTTTGTTTTTAACATGAAAGTGCTTTGGGAACTGAGCATATATAACTACAGATACGAGGAGCGACTATTATCAAAATGAGTTTTGCCACCAATGGTGACACCATCAACATCACCCAATAAGTGAGTGCCTGCACAGTGCTTGCTGTGTGTGCGGCACTGGCACCATCTCCTTGCCTGTGTTATCCTGATTCGTCCTGCTGAGCCTACGAGGTGGCCACTGCTGCTAGTTCATTTTATAGACAGTGAATTTGGGGCTCACAGTTATACTGTCATAAGTCGGAGGGACTTCAGTGAAACCTGAGCAGGCTTCAGCATGTTTATGACCCTAATACTCTACAATTCCTCTAGTAAACAGTGTGTCAAATAAGACACAGCCACTGCTGCCACAGCGGTGATGACAGGAGAGGTGGACAGGCCTTACCCAGCCTCCGGGCCAGACCGAAGTCGATGAGCTTGATTCTGGTGCCCGTCTTGTTGACACACATGATGTTCTCGGGCTTGAGGTCCAGGTGCACAATGCCCTGCTTGTGGATGTACTCCACCCCCTCGGAGATCTGCCGCATGTACTGGATGCACTCCCGCTCCGTCAGCTCAAAGTCTTCGTCAATGATTCGCTCAAACAGCTCGCCGCCCGACACGCTGTGGGGTAGAGGGAGGTGGGAAGGGCGTTTGGGTCAGCTCCAGGATCAGGGGCGGCAGGCATCTGGCCAGGAGAGGCCAGAAGGAGGAGCCCAGGGGCCTCTGGGTTTCCTGCCGCCCCGTACCTTCCAGGCTGTGGGGGCAGGGCTCAGGAAGGTGCAGGGGTCAAGGCAGCCCCCAAGCCCGGCAATCTCAGACAGGGGCGTGAATGGGGAGATCTGGATCCTTAGCAAAACAGGCACTTCTGGGCGGTGACGTGTGACCACAGATGCATGGGGGAACATTCTTGTACCCGGAACTCCAGTTTAAACCACTCGGTTTCCATAAGCATGGCCCTGCTCTCTGAGCTGCCGGGTCTTCTCTGGTCCCTGGTCCCAGCCCTCTGGCTCACTCTTCTTGGTCACTGCTCTGCAAGTTTAAACCATGACTTTGGGAACTTACATGGCATCCAGATATAAATTCATGGTCTGCAGAGCCAGGACAAGTGTGGGTGGGCTTCATTCTGGGATTACCCCTTCGTCATGAAGACAGGAAGGAGCGGAGTTTGAGCCTCTCTCTGTCTTTCACAAACTGTCGTTTAACCTTTCTGAGTCCTGGCTGCAGCTGCCTTCTCTGTCCCTACTTCACGGAGCTGCTAGAAATATGGACACCTGTGTAAGGTGTCACCCCTGTACAGTCGGTGCTCAGCACATGTTAACAGGCTGTTTGACATCCTGGTGGGCTAAGTAGATCTTGTCACTGGACCCTGCAGGGCAGACCCACGGGGCCACCACAGCCTGTCCACCTCTAACTCGGGACACTGGACAGGGTTGAACTGGGAAAGGGCAGTGTGTGCCAGTGGCCACGAGGGGGAGTTAAAACTGACTATTTAGAATAATTTGAGAAGGTCCCTGCACTACCAGCAGGTGGCGGCTCCTGTCCTAAACCCTTCCTCTCTTTCCATTGCTCTCCACCAAGACTCCAAGACAAACTCCAACTAGAGTTAGGTCTCAGCCAATTCTTAACATCTTTGTGCCTCAGTCCTCTCATCTGTAAGGTGCAGATAAAAACGGCACTATTTCCCCAAAGTTGCAAGCAAAGACAGAAGTGAGTTAATAGGCAGACTGCTTACAAAGGTTCCTAGCGTGAAATGCATGTTAATTATTAATTTAGAAAGAATTTTTACTTTAAAGAATCACTTGAGGCTCTTACTGAAAATAAAGATTTCTAGACACTTCCCCCTGGAGACTTTGATTTTGGGGTGCTTGGGAGAGATTTGAGGATCCATATTTTTAAGAAGTACTCCATGTTACTCTGTGACAGACGTGTGTAGCAATGCTAGGTTACCGCACTACCACTCCTGAAGCCAATGGAAATTCACATCCTCAGAAAGTCAGTCTGTTTCTTCACGTGAAATGATCTTTCCCTCGTGAGTATCCATGTATTGTGTCTGTATTTTGCTTGTCAGCTTTTGTCTCAGAGTTATTTGTCAGCCTATCTACAAAAGGCCTGGCACCCTTCCAGGCCCTCATTTATATCTGGTGATATCTGACATGGGCAACACATCCCCAAAAAGTTGCTTTTAAACTTAAAATATTGTAATCAAACAAGCAGCCATTACCTGCAGTGCCTTCGGGAATGGTTAATAACATCTAAGCTGTGGTGATAATGGCTGTGGCATTTCTAGAGATAACCTAGTCAATACTGCTTCAGATAGGTTCATTGCTCTTCAAATATATTTAGTATTTGAAAACTGTTTCTGTGACCCACCTCCTATGATGGAAGGATCATCCTAAAATAAACATGGTTCTGTTCTGCAGATTTCACAGTAATCAAGACTCTGGTTTGAAAGGCAGAAGCTACCACCCACAGACCTAGGACTAGGCCATGGGCCAAGACAGGCTGAGGCCATGTGTGCTTAATAAACAGACAGTAAGCCCCTAACTGGTAAATGGGTACCTACTCTCCTCAAAGCTACCTGTCCCGCGGGATTGCTGCTATCCTCAGTGCTCTGGACCTCGGTCAGGCCTCACTGGTGGCAGCCAGAAGGAATGACACTGTCTGGGCACTCAGTGCCCAAGCCCTCTGCTCTTAGTGTCACAGCAGCCAGTTAGATGTTCTTTGATAAACTTTGCAAGCAGGAGAAGAAGGGTGAGATCAGCCACCATTAACTCAGGCTAAACTTCAAGCCCCTTTTTAGTGCCCGGGTCCCACCGCCCCTTGGTATGCCCCAGACACTTTCACAAGGACAAGCACAGGTCCAAATAAGGGCCAGGAAAGATCCCTGTCTCGGAGCCACACTGTCTTACAAGTTCAGAGGCTGGGAAGGCTGAAGGGATGCGCATTCTTCACATCTGAGGCAGCTGAATGGCAGGCTGGGGCCCTGGAACACCCTCTGCACTTTCCCGTGTCACAGGAATCACTCTTCATCACCTCAGCAAGGAGAAGAGCAGACCGTGCTGCGCAGCATCAAACTTTCCCTCTCGGAGGCCACCTCTCAGAAAGGTTCGGCTGGGAGGGACGCGTAAGTGGTACATAAATCCACTCCCTTCTTCCCTGGTGGGATTCCTATTACGGCGCAAGCTCTGTGCCCCAAGTGCAGGGAACATTCTGGCATCTGTGCACGGAAGACTTGCTCCGTCCACGGGGGAGGAGTGGGTAGAGGGATGAAAGCCAGGCCAGCTGAACCTCCTTACATCTCTCCCTTTTTCCATCCAGCTTGCCAACTCCCGATTCCAAGCTAAGTATGGTATTCTGCCCACGGGTACGACTGCCTGGCCTCACCCAGCCTCAGCGGCCTTCCGTCCCCTCTCACGAACTTGCTCAAGGCTTGGCTTCTCCACACATTCTCACAGTGCCCACTCTACCTGTTCCAGCCCGCAGGGATCTAGGGAGGCTCTGAAGTACGGGGCCACAGACACCGGCTACATATTCCTCAAAGCGGAAAGGACGGAAAGTTTGAATTTGATTCTAAGACACAAATGAAGATTTTTCTCCAAGTCTTTGATGATTGGACAGAACTATAGAATTTCATAGGCAGGAGGGGAGACCTGAAATTAATGACTTGAATCCAATAACTTCTTTTTACTGGTAGGATTTAGGAATTAAAACTCACATCTCAATCAGAGCCAAGCTTGAGGCCAAGGCTCCTGAGTCCTGGAAAGGATCAGTCCCATGACACTGAGTTGGATGCTGAAATGTTCACCGTGCACTTTTAAGTGGAAAAATTACCACCATACAGAAAAAAGTCAAGGTGTTGTGCCATGAGCCTCTCATTTCAGAGCACTGTGCCCCTCTAGCACTGTTCCTATAATCCCCGAAGCGTCTAGGAGGGGAGTTTAATGACCTCTCTTATGGATAATAAAGATTGGCACAGCTGAGTAACTTAGTCCAGGTCAATAACAAGTAAGAGGCAGAGACAGGACTTCAGGAAGGTCTCAGGTCTAACTGACCTCTGTGCTCTTAACCACCCTGCCCATCCTAAGGAACACATCCTGGAAGGCATATGCCCAGATGTCCTGCAGCGAGCGGGGGAACAGGCTGCTACCCACATGAGCCGTGTCTTTCCTGGGGAAGAGCGCTCAGATGCCCATGGACTCTCCTAAAGGACCGAGACCCGGAGTTCAGGACGAGCAATATGAGAGGCCTGAAGGCAATTCTGCAGCAGCACTGGGGTGTGCAAATGTGCACACTCTTTAACCTAGCATCGCTCACTCCTGGGAATGTAAACTGCGGCTATAGGCAGGAGTGAAGAGATGGGCGTCCAGTGGTACAAACAGTGCTTGTTTGCAAAAGCCAAAGCCTGGAAATCGCCTGATCACTTATTCAAAGCAAATGGCTTCTACACCGTGTGATGTATTGATTCTGTGCAGCTAGGAGAGCACAAGACGGGCTACCACCGCAGCTTGCTGAATAATGAAATGTGAAGTAGCACCATCAATTACCTCCCTGGTTAAAGGCAGGAACATAGGACTCTGTGTCATATACACTTGTATTTTCAGGAAGAGACTTAGGTCTCTACACTACAGACGAAGCAAAAAAATTGTTTATCTCTAGTAGTGCTGTGGGATAGGAACAGGAATCAGACTTTTTTCACAGTGTATTTTCTAAGAATTTTTTATGTGATTGTATGTATTCAAAAAATTCAGGTACAAAGCAGGAAACTTGTAAAAACTCCAGGTACTATGGGAGACACACCGCTTACTGATGCTGGTATGTGTATATATGTGTGTGTGTGTGTGTGTGTGTGTGTGTGTGTGTGTGTGTGTGTGCGCTTAGGTGGAGGACTGGGATGCAGAGGAAACAACGAATTCTGGGAAGGACACTCTGCCTTTGCACACCTCAGTCGAAAAAGTGCTACTCTGCCCAGTCAGAACCTGAAAGACATGAGCCAGGGAGGAGTGCCGAAGTTGGACGGAACACAGGCAGTGGAAGGGCTTGATCAAGGGTTCTGCTCCTGGACCTTGAGCCCCCGCTGGGCCTCTCTTTGCAGAGAAGTTAGAAGTTGCTGTCTCTCCCCTTTCCCCTCAAGCCTGTGCCAGGTGAGAAAGCCCTGCATGACACCAGGGAGCAGAGGGCTGGCCGTGGCCCTTTCCCAGGAGATGGGAGGGAGAGCAGGCAGGGTTCCCAGTTAGGGGGGCCCTTCTAGTTAGAGAAAGGAGCACAGGGCTGCAGACAGGCTGAGAGGCTTTTCCACGTCACCTCTCTTTGCAGCCCTTTCCAGCTTGGGACAGGGTGGGACAGTGGGAGGAACACAGACAGGGCTCCCAGGCCCACAGTGCCACTCACATCTCCAGCACCATGACGATGTTGGCCTTCTCCTCAAAGGCGTCCACACACTGGACCAGCTTGGGATGGTGCAGGCAGTTCATGATGCCGATCTCCTCCCTGATGTTCTCTTTCTCTTTGGCTGAGTATGCCTTGAAGAATTTCCCTGCCCAGATTTTTCCAGTTTTCTTTTCTACAAGTCGAAAGACCTGTCCAAATTTCCCACTGCATATAAAGGGTGAGGAAAGAGAAAGCCACATTTAGCTATGCTTTCTGCTAAATGTGGGGTGCAAACTGTGGCTCAGGGGACACACCTGACCTGCCTCTTTTATAGTGAAGGTCTCCCGGTGACACAGCCACACCTTTTTGTTTACATACTGTCCACTGTGGCTTTTGTGCGAGAATGGGACACAAAGCCTAAAGTATCAGCTATGTGGCCCTTTATGGAAATGCCTGCCAGCCGCTGCATTAGATCAGTAAGCATGTTTCCACGCAACCCTGGATGGCGGCCTTCTCATCTCTTTCCTGCGGGTGCCCACACAGGTAGACGGAGGCCACACTTCCTAACACAGACTCACCAAGCGGCTCCTACCTTCCACCCCACCACAGCACTGGTCCGCTGGCGACAGCCCAGGAAGGACCCTGCTTCCCATGACTGGGGCCCCCAGGCTTCTCTGGGCTATAACGCGTTCTGATAGGGCGGGCTCCCCAGAGCTGCCAAGGGCTTTGTGTTACGGTGTTTCCCAGGAGCCACATGCAAAATGAAAGCTGAGCCCACTGCTTTTTCTTCCCCTCCTTGTGTTCCTCCAGGGAGAGACCTGGGGGGTGCCGCCTACTGGGGTCTAAGCCCACTGGCCCCCTCCATGCCCCGGCAAGAAGGCAGGGTAAAGAATTCATCCAGAGAGCCAGGAGGGCACTGGACACGGGCGCCTGTCCCTCCTGGCCACTTCTGTGGAACCAGTGGAAGGGACAGAGAGTCTGACCCAGGTTTTGGTGCTGTGAGTAGAGGTACAGAAGAGGGAGGCCTCACTGCCAGGCTGGGCCCTTGCAGGGTTCTCCACACAGAGCTGAGGGCAAGTACCTCCTCCTGAGGACTGCCCAGGGAGGAGCCGAGCCCAGAACAGGTCAGGAAGAAAGGGACTGCACAGACCTCCCCTGGGGCCCCAGATGCAGCTTCCCCTCCACTTACGATCCTAGTCTCTCTTCAATGTCGTACAGGTCAGATACTTTTTGTTCAGTGTTGACAGTCACTGTCCGATAGTCGACTTCAGGCTCTTTCTCATCTGTAGGGTACACGTCAGGGTCAGTGTGAGCCATCTAGCCCCCTTGTTCAGCCCTGTTCACCCCAAGAGCCTCAACTTAGGACAGGGGGCCACCACTCACCGTCATCTGACACCTCCACTTCATCCTTGGGCTCTAGGGGAGACAGGGGAATGGAGAAGACACAGTGGTCAGTAATCAAGGCCTGCTGAGAGCAAGCCGTGCTAGACCTCCGTGGGCACCAGACTGGCCAGCCCGGAGCTCTGCAGCCCCCAGGGTTGGTCAGGCCAGGTGCAGACAGGCAGGTCCCAGCCCCTCCTCGCCAGCCCCACGCCCTGCAGGACCCTCACGCCTAACCGGGCGGCCTTGGATGCAGCCTCCTCCCATCTCTTCCCCGCCTCTGGACTTAAAAGCTACACAGAACTATGCCCGGCCCTTCCTGCCCTGGTTTGAAGGTCGGTGACATAAAATGCTTCCAATGTAAATCCACTTATCCATTTGTTTTATTTTTTTAACGGAATTCCAGCAGAATACCAAGCATATTGCCAGTTACACAGGCAAACCAACAGAGAACACATGCTAGGCATGCTTTTTCCTTCCTCCTTGAAGCTTTGAATTTAGCTGGAGAGGCAGCGCTGTATGCTGTGTACTTGAAGTATCAGTTACACAGTGTCATGTAGTGAGTCCACCTCATCACGGCACAGACAGAGGCACACAGAGGCGAGGACAGAGCCAGCAGGATTGCACCTGGACAGGGCAGCATTTGGGCTGTGTCTTTTTTTTTTTTTTTTTGTCTTTTTCCTTTTTATCAGTACCAGGGATTGAACTCACGACCGCCTGCTTGCCAGGCAGGCGCTTATTCCGCTGAGCTAAATCCCCAGCCCCTGGGCTGTGTCTTAAAGGCCACAGCAATACAAAGAGGAGTCCCACAAATGCGTGACATCACACAAATGAGGCCAACTGGTACCCATTGAGGCAGGCTGAGGAGGACTCTGTGCCCACAGCTGTACTGGGAGTGGGGGGCACACAGGGTGGGCAGTGGCCCTGGGACATACCCCCTTGGGGGCACCTGGCTCTCCTTTGCCTTCTGTATTTGTTGTGCCCATTCATTGGGCTTCTGGGCGGCTTCCTTGCTGAGGCCGAGGGCCCTCCTTTCTGGCCTCCAGCCCTCATCTGTAAGGGGAAGAGCTGCACCGGGGAGTGCTAGGCCCGTCAGCCCAGCTGCCACACAACAGCACTCGGCACTCCCGCAGCTGGACCCATGTCCAGGCTGTGTTCTGCCTGACGGACGGACGAGGGGGACTCCTGGGTGTTAGAGAAAGGCTGTGACAGAATCAGAGGATGCATGTTTAAAGTGTGAGCGTGTGGGGGACAGCGTGTGAGTGCGAGTGTACCCATGGGTACACTGGGAAATGTGTGTGAGGCACAGCACGGGAGTGTGAATGTGAGCGTTCACCTGTGTATGTGTGTGTGTGTAGGACAATGTAGGCGTGCACAAAGCATGTGTGTGTGTGTGACAGTGTGGAACAGTGAGTGCAGGTATGCATGGGAGTGTGTGTGTGGAATGATACAGAAGCATGTGAGTGGGTGAGTGTGCGGCACTGAGCGAGTGTGGGGGGCAGTGCAGAGTGTGCAAGTGTGTGCATGTGTGAGTGTGTGTGGGACCATGTGCGACTGTGTGACAGCAGGTACAGGCTAATGTGTGAGTGGGTGTGCACATGTGAGCACGCCGGTGAGGCTGGGGGAGCGGGTGTGTGCTGTGGAGACCCCTGCAGAGCAAAGCTGGGAAGGACAATGGTCTGCCTGGATGTGCCACCTGTGAGGACCAGGGCTTAGGGGTAGAGGGCTGCCAGGCACTCAGGGCACTGCGCACTGGTAAGCTCTGTGCTGCTCTGTGGTGGAGGAGTGGGCCAGGGCTGGGGAGGAGGAGGAGGAGGAGGAGGAGGAGCAGCTGGACCCATGGACAGCAGACCCCCAGCAGGCTGTGACAGGGAGGTGAGGTGGCTGTAACCTCAGAGCCTGTGGAGGGGGCCATCATAATGCCATCCAGGGCAAGTGCCTCTTGCTGAACAAGAGGTCTGACAGAGTTTATGAGCAAGAAACCAGGAGTTAGAGAAGCTGTGATCTGTTTGGATTTCTTAAAATGCTGCTGACAAAGTTTAATTTTAAAAAACTAAACATGAGAGGACTGGGAAGAATAACCCAGAGAGGAAACTGCCACTGAAAAATGCAGCAGTCTGGTTGGGAATGTTAGGGATGTGGGCCTCCCTGGTCAGCCCTTCCAGATCCACAGGGCCGGGAGCCGAGGGACACGGTCAGATTTATCAGTGACAAGGACGACCTGTGAGCGATGTGCCTGGTGTGTGTGGGAGACTGACTCTGTTCTATCCTGAGGGTGACAGGCATGGCGAGAGGGGCTCAATTCCTTAATCTCCTGCTCCAGTCAGCAGAGCGCCGCCCCTGGGACGATTCCATGAGCACAGGGACAGTTGCTCGTGGCCCTTAATGCAGCTGGGGCGCCCATCCACGGGACTCTGGTTAAGATGGAGCCGGCTGAGGTATGGAAGCCGGGGGAGGGAGGGGTGCCAGCCAAGACAACTGGAAAAGGCTTTCCCGAAGGGAAAGAAGTCTAAAGCAGATGTCTGAAAAGAAACCACAAGCCAGGTCTGCTGAGGTCTGCCTGTGATCCCAGCATGCTGGGAAGCTGAGGCAGGAGATTACAAGTTTGAGCCCAGGTTGGAAAACTTACTAGGAGACTCCATCTCAAAAAAAAAAAAAAAATGATTAATGATGGAGCTCAGCAAGGAGGCCCTCAGGTCAAACCGCAGTAATGAGAAATAGAACTGCCCAGTAAAGCTAGGTGTACAGACTCTCATAACCATTACCACTTGAAGGAACTCTTCCTGTGGGAGGAGGGTACAGGCCCATGGCACCCATGGCAGGAGAAGCCCAGGGAACAGTAATGGGTTCCTGGGAAGTTCGGGTTATTTCAGACAGACGTTTCAGACAAGGAAGAGAGTCAAGCCCACCATTCACTGAACACCTGTGGATGCCGTCCTTTTGAGAAAGTCAGGCTTTCCTGGTGGGAGGCCCCACAGTCCTGACCTGTAGTTCTGAGCACCCCAATTTTCTTGCTCCCCTCCCACATTTTTCTGAGGCAAAGGGACTGGCGTGGTCGGAGCAGCGGGGTGGGAGACAGGGGAGACGGGCTTTCTTGGCCTGCTGCCTTCCAGGGGACACTCCGACAGTGCTGATGAAGCGTGCTGCAAGCCACAAGGGTCCGTGGTGGCCTGGCACCCGCGGCTTCCCCCAGTCAGCCTTGGAGAGGACGCTGGCCTGTAGAGCTGGCCTCCTGCACCACAACTCCTGCCCTTGCATCCAAACCCTCGTCCTTAGGGACTCAAGACCCTCTTTTCAGCTCATTCTCTCCGCGATTTCCTCTGGGGAAAACCCCCGGGCCGCCGAGTCCCCGGCTACCTTCTGGTCCTGCTTCCCTTCTACTTATTTAGAGCAGTAAGAGGGGAGTTGGGGAGAGACCACAGTGCACTGAGCCACATTCCTGGACCACAAAGGGATGCAGCAATGACCAAATGTGCGCTTTGTTTCCATCTTTCCAATAAGGAACGAGTCAGAATTAGAGAAGACTTCGACAAAACATTAAAAAAAAAGGCAAATCAAAACTATTTAGCAAGAGCTGTGAGCTAAGTGGAAGAGATGTTCTGTAGAGGGCTCTGAGATATTTCTGCAGACAGAGGAGAGTGTCACTATGCCAGGGTGGGCTAAAGAGGGCACTGGCTGAGAGCTCCAGCCTGCAGTCACATGGGCTGTGGTGCCCTGGACAGAGAGCAATGCGCCTTTCTCCAGACAAGCACTGCGGTACAGTCCATGGCCACTAGAGGGCACCCTGGCTCTGGACAGCGCCTCTGGGTCCAGGCGAAGCGGCAGCCTGGGGCAGGGAGCAGCCCGAGAGCTTGGCAGCTCCTGCCTAGGTACTCCCCAGGAGACAGACTGGGACAATCAGTGTTAGGAGCAGGGGCGATGGATTTAAGGGTCAGAGGCAGACAACGTGGGTGTGGAGTTCAGGGTCAGGCTGGGGCTCTGGTGACCAGGCAGGGAGCTGTGAGGTTAGGGGTCCTGGTTGCAGAGGCAAGCTACAGGGGCCAGATGGGGCCCACTCTATCCTCCCCTGTACCCTAGAGCACAGTGCAGCGCCCGGAACTCAGAAGGGCCAATGCCTGGGCTGAAAGTCAGACATTAGCCAGGCTCGCTGCTTCTGCCATGATCCTCAGCCCACTGCTCCCCGGAGTGACCTTCCGTGACCTCCTACTCAATCCCACCTGCCTGCCTGTCACCCAACACGTGCACACACATACTTCCACACTAGCACGCGCACGTGCGAGCACACACACACACACACACACACACACACACACGCTTCTTTGAGAGCTGTTCCTCTTCTGAGAAGAGAATGATGCTCCCCTGTTGTCCCTCACAAACAGCTGAGCAAGGCAGGCCGCCCCTCCCCCTCCTCTCAGGCCTTGGGCCGGCTGCTCTTCCCTCCTCCTCCTGCTCCTGTCTGATCCAGCTGGGCCTGGGGTGGGAGTAGCTTCCAGGCTAGTTGCAAAGCCCTGGGTGGCCTGAACCCCTCTTCACTCCCAGATTTTGGACTTTGAGAGATTTCAACATTTGCCAGTGTCTGCTCCCCGTGGGAGGGCTGCGGTGAGGGGAGCGCAGGGGTGAGGCCACCTGGCCTCCACAGCTAGCTACTCCGCCCCTACAGCTCCCCGACTGTCCTGAGGCTGAGCCGCACCTCGCAGCTGCTGTGGGCTCTGCCTGCGCTGGTCAGCCAGCGGCCCTGGAGGTTCCTCTGGCTTCCGCCACAGCAGGGACATGGATGACTTCTCCAGCCACTGAGTTTCTCCCTGCAGTGGCACCCCTTCTCCTGTCACTTTTCCCAGTCATACCCCAGAACAGACGCAAGACTGGAACCTGGTGCCCTTCCTGCCCCGACTCCGCCCACAGTAGAGAATGTGTTTGTGGTGAGGTATGAGACGGCAGCTGATGTCTTAGTTTCTTTCCAGACATCTGCAAGGCACGTTTTAGGGCTGGGTACAGCCGATGGCAGTGCACTGGCCTAGATGTGTGAGGACCTGGGTTCTATCCTCAGTGCCTCAAAAAAAGCTGAAGTTCCTGATAACCGCACTATACCTAACTTTTAAAGCTCAAGAGGGTTACTGAGCTGGAAGGAAGTGGCACACTCGGCGCTGCCAGGTGCACGGTCTTTCGGCTGGCCCCTCCTGGCTCCTCCCAGAGCCTCGACCTTCTGCAGTCAGCCTGCCTGCCCTTCAGCTCTCCCCCTGAGCCCCTTCTTCCGGTCCCCAGCCCTTTCCCTTTCCCTACCTTCAATTCTCAGCATCTTTGCCCTGCTCTTTACATGAAACTCCTTGTGATGATATTCCATGTTCCTGGCCTTTTTATTTTCTTTCATTTATTCCTTTGCCAAGGCAAACCTGTCTCTACCCTGTAGAAACCCAAGGGACTTTGATCCCAAAGACCATTACCGACCACGGGCCAATCCCGAGATCTCTCCACGAGCCCCTCAGCTCGCCCATCTTAGCCCTTGCTGGGGTTCACCACGCCTTCTTCACCGCCTCCTGCCTCCCGCCTCTACACGGGGCTCCGGGCTCCAGGTCCTCTGGGCTCTTGCGTTATGGTGTTGGTGTTGCCGTCCTGTGCCACCTTTGGGTGACCTCTTGGGTACCCACGGCTTCTCTGTCATCGGTGAAGACTTCCAAAGCTGCAGCCCTAGCTCAAACTTTCCTCCTGAACCCTGGATTCTGAAGATGCTTCCCCTTGAATGTCCCTGGCCACCTCAACTCAGCTGGTCTGAAGACAGAGTCCGGTCTCCTCCCAGACTCCTATTCATGTAACCCTTCAAGTCATTTGTGTCTGGAACTAGGAACAGCCCGCTGGCTCTTCCCTCAGTCTGACCAAAGGAGCACAGGTTTCATGCCACACTGCTCCAAGTCAGACTTCTACTCTATCACATACTCTACTCTGGACCCCAGACGAGTAGCTGCATCCTTCTAAGCCTCACTTCCCTTATCTGTATAATGGGGATAGTAACAGTCACTCCCTCACGGGGTTATTACAACTGGCTGAAATGATGTGTGTAAAGTGAGTGACATATTGTTAGCATGTAGCAATTACTCAACATACATTAGCCACAGTGACTCTTAATAAACCTCTAACTGAGCTGGATACTCTGGGAGGCTGAGACAGGAAAATTACCAAGTTTGAGTCCAGCCTGGGCAACTTAGTGAGACCCTGTCTCATAATAAAAAATAAGAAGGGCTGAGGGATGTGGGATGTAGCTCACTGCAGAGGCCCTGGGTTCAATCTCCAGTACCTCAGAAATCAAACCAAACCAAACCAAATCAAACCAAACCAAACCAAACCAAGCCAAACCAAACCAAACCAAACAGAAAATCAAGACACTCTAACTGGCTGTTGAATTCATGGTTAGTTACCCAGTCAGTTTCTGGGAGTTATCTTAGACTCTTCCAACTTTTTTGATCAGCTCTCTAAAAGTCATCAAGAACGGGCCATCCTACGCCCTGGAGGTTTAGTTCACGCCCTTGTCGTCCATCTCTTGGACACAGAGGCTCATCTGGTACTTGGCCGCCTCCCATCTCAGCCCTCTTTCCCATCCTCCCCTCCAGGCCTTCCCCAGCCTTCACGTTGGCACGAAGCAGCTCAGGGAAGATGGTGGCAAGTGAAGATTCTCAAGGCCTGGCGCAGAGTCTACAGAGTTCCCAGGATGCCAGGACCCAGCTTTGAATAAGGCCCTTTCCAAAACGCAGCTCTCCTCTTCTCAGTCCCTTGCCTGAAAAGCCTTTAGTGAGCTTCACAACTCCATCTAAACTGCCTCTTTCTGCTCGCTTCCTGCCCGCAGCATACAAACACCCGGGCTACAGCCGTTTCTCCAAGTGTCGCCCACTGCCATCACGTCCAGCCCTTGCTCCTGCTGACGTCAGCTACAGGGAAGGCCTTTCCTCCGCCCCACCTCTCAGAGTCCCCTCCTCTTCCTGCGATACTGTCTATGTGTCACCTCCTCTAGGGAGACTCCCAGTCTCCATGGCAAACTTCTGCCATGTCCCCCCACTCCTCGTGTTACTCCAGTGAGATGTACCCCATCTCATTACATTGAGCGCATGCACATCTGTCTGCCAGCTGTAAGATCCTCGTCTTTTTCTCTGCATTCCGGGTCTTGACACTGAGCAGACACTCACATGTGAGTGCAAGAGAAGGCTGAGGTGAGGGGTAAAGTAGGAGCTTGCGGTCTCCCTAAGCTCCTCCCTCCTGGGACTGTTCTCTTGACTAACACATCATCACCCCCTCGTGGCAGTGGACCCAAATTGCTGGTTCAGTTGTTGGAATCTGTTTTGTGGTGCTGGGGATGGAGCTCAGGGTCTCATGCATGCTACAGCTTTAGCCCACTGGTTCTGTGTTTTTTTGAAAGTTCTCATGTATTTTTAAAAAAGTAAAAATTAGCATCAGAACCTTAGAAATCAAGGCCACCAAAGGCCTCTCCCCCCAGTCACCACTGATGCCAGTTTCTCTGCAACCCTCTTAGTGTGGTCTCTACACACACAAGCCTATTCATGCACAAGCATCTCACACCTGTGGAATTGTAGGGGTAGCTTACCCTCAGGTTTCTCTCCCACCATGGTGAGCTCAGACTCTTGGCTTGGCTCGCTCGTTCCGTACACATTGATGGCGCGTACACGGAATTTATATTCGCGGTCGGGCAGCAGGTCCTGCACGTTAAAAGAGGTGCTGCGGCATGTGGCTAGTTCCTTCCACATCTTGTCCACTGAGTCCCAGATCTCGACGCTGTAGGACTGTACAGCACTGCCACCGTCATAGGAAGAGCCGTACCAGGACAGGGTCAGGGAGGAGCTCCGGATATCAGAGGCACAAGGTGTGCCGGCTGGGGGGTCTGGCTTGTCTGGGAATGGAGAAACACAACATCACTCAGACTCCCTAGGCTGTAGAGAAACGGATTTCTTTTTCCCCCTTTAATGTTGGGGCTGGGTCCTTGGCCTTGCAGTTGCTAGGCAAGTGCCCTGCTACTGAGCTACACCCCCACCAATAACGCTCTTGGATTAGCTCTGTTGTGGGGAGCCACCCCCTCGTGAATCCAAGCGAAGGTCCCTATTCCTGGCCCTTTGTGTTGCTTGCTCAAAACCAGCAGCACAAAAGTCCCACAATGCGTACTTGCTCAAAAGAGACTTCCTTTGGCTACTTTTCCAGTTCACAAGTCATGATTTCTTGTACTTGGCCCACCTCATAAACAGATCTTTCAGGTTCAAAAGATCTAGGAGGCTGCTCAGGAGACATGGATTATTTCCCATGAAAAACATGTTTTGAGAGAGAGAGAGAGAGAGAGAGAGAGAGAGTGAGCCTTGAGAGTGTGTGTATTGAGCTCTGAGGATAGACACACAGAGCTGTTAACTGCTCTGTGCCTCAGTTTCCTTGCTTGAGCAATGTGGGTCACCAGTTGTTGGGAAAATTATTTGGGAAGTGCCTTACTTCACTATCATTACTGTCATAGTTGTTTTAGGGGTGTGTTTCTAACTTTATAGTTCACGAACATTTCCTCCTACTCTCCCTCTTTGTTATTTTGATTGTTGGTGCTGGGAACTGAGCTACACTCCCAGCCCCTGGCCTACCTCTGTTATTCTCACTGGATGGTACACAGTGGAATTTCAAAAGTAAACTACAATAGGAAGTCACAACTACCCCTGACTGTGGGACTGAGAGTGAGCCAAGCACAGGAACAAGAAGTCACCCTTTGTCCGGCTTCCTCCCCATGAGGTGGCCTGGGATCAGACCCAGCATGCTGCCACATGCAGGGCAAACCAGGGTAGCCATCACTTAATGAGGCCCTTGAGTTCGATGGGTTTTGGTAGTTGTTTATCTGAACAAAACTCCTGTTTTTTCAGGATTAGTTTCTGGGGTCAGTTAGTGACAGGTGGCTGCAGTCCAGGTTTACCATCCACAACACACTCCGAGTTCACGGAGCCTGACAGGTTTCCAATTAAAATCATGCTATGGGGGCTGGGGATTTAGCTCAGCAGCATAAGCACCTGCCTTGCAAGCAGGCGGTCGTGAGTTCGGTAAAAAGAAAAAAGAAAAAAAACAAAGTGTAAAAAAAAATCATGCTACGTGGATTTATTAAGGTCTTAACTCTAGCAGACTTGAACCCAGTCTGTTCTTTTGTCATTCTCATTTGGAAAATGGTGTTGATGTGTACCAAACTCCTCTTCTCCCAGTGCCAGTTAAGCAGGAAGCCCAAAGGGAATTCCTGGAAATGACCCTGCATGGGAAGGGAAATCTGCGCTGTGACTGCACGCGCATGACCTGCCTCCGCGAGTTCATAAGCAGTGCACATACATTTTCACCCTGTCCCTGAGCTCTGCTTCTTCAGAAGGCACCCCCAAATCGTCTGTACAACAACCCAAGTCTGGCTCTGCCCAGGGGATGATTTGGGGACCATGTCAGGGCCATTTCCACTGGGGCAGTCATGCGGCAGCCTCCCGTGACCAAGCCACTTCCACTGGTTGTTTAATGTGTTCTCTTAGAAAAACTGTCGGAAAGATATATTGGTCTCTTTAGAAACATTTCTGGTGTTGGCTAAGATGTTTATTGCTCTAAACTCTCTTAGAGGCAAGTGGTGCAAATCCTCTCCAGCCCAGCTAAGGAAGTAAAAATATCTACAGAGAGACCCAGACACTCACTGCCCCGTGGCAGCCACCTGCAAGACGTACAGCTGGACACAGATGGGGTCACAGAGGCTGATACCTGGGCAGATACAGTCCACTGGCTGAATTCCTTTTCTCTGCTTTGGTCAAAAAGACAACTTGGAAAAATGAGTTTTACAGAAGAGATACTGTTTGCACCTGCCCTGTTACCAGTGTCACTAACTCAGGTATGATATAGTTCGGCTCCTATAACACAATAAAAAAAAAGTGGGGGGTGTGTGGGGAGAGGGCTTAAATTCCACATGAAACATTGTTACATTCAAGGAATTTGGTGTCCAATGAAGGAGTTCCAAAAAGACCTAAGCCTGAGGTGCAGGAGACTGGGAGCCCCTTCCTCCCCTACCAGATGTTAGAGCTCTGGGTGGGACCTGGTACTTTCTGTTCCCTTAACCTACAGAGCCACACAGAGCTTGGCTGGCCAGGGCTGAGGATCATGGGGACAGTCTAGGGACTCCTGTAAGCCTGCAAGATGTCAGTGCTCTGCAGAAGGGAGGTCTTGGCAGCGCTGGGCAAAGCCTGTGCCCCAGTTGGAGCCCTCAGCATTCCCCCAGGGCTCTCTGGAAACCTCACTGATAGAATGGGAATCCCTCTAAGAGAAGGGTCCCACATGACACTGTCTCCAGCATTTTGTGCTCAGCCAACACCAGTGTTCTGATTCCTGGGAAATCAGATGATCCTGTGCCAAGGCTTCCCCCTAGGGCAGTGCCCTCACGCTGTCTGCCCATACGTGATGGAAACTCATTTGGGGCTGTGCCCAGCCCCACTTGATGTTCCTGAACTCAGCAGCTGCAGGTAGGCTCCTCTGTAGTGACCACTTGGATCTCCTGTGTCCTCCGAACACACAGGCCCACAGAGGCTAAAGCACTTTGCTCACCAAGAAACCCTGGCTAGTCCATGAGAGCCCAAGGAGGACTCCACAAAATCTGCAGAGCCAGGCCCCAGGGCTTGGTACTTTGTGGCCATCAGGCAGAAAGGAGATCAAGAAGATATCTTGCTTAAGCTGAGTCAAGCACTAAGAAGGGGAATCTGCTCTTCCAAAGCATGCAAGCTCCGATCTCAGATCATATTTGAGGATTACTGGGGATCTGGAGTTCTATTTTTCTCCGTTCAAGCTATGCAGAGGCCTATTTTTCTCCTGCTTGGTGAGTGGCATTAAGGAATCCATCGGATCTGCGGCTGGCTCCCTCCTCCCGGAGCAGGCAGATGGGGAACAGGCACAGAAAAACACTACGCACTGAAAATTCCCGCTCTGCTTGTTACAGCGTAATACTAAGCCTCTGAAACAGCTCAGTACCACTCATTTAAACTAACGGCGGGAAAGGCTAGTTTTTAATCGTCATTTTAAAAATAGGAATCACAGATTATCTAAAAAGAAAGTAGTTCTTCTAAGAACATGCCGTGAGAGAAGTTTACTGCTATCAAAGTGGCGTTATTTAGTTGGTCTGTAAATGGATACTTCTAAAGCACTTGAAAACTGTCTGGAGTTGGCTGAATACTTCCTGGTTTATCTCACATACGTCTTACGTCTACTTAGTGAAGCCTGATTAGATAATACACAGATGTCCCTGGAGACATGCAGGTAAATCAGCTTAGCCAGGGTTTACTTTGGACTAAACCGAAGTTCACGGACTCTGAATGAATATGGCTTTGCTGCACCAATGTGAGTCCTCATTTTATTGAGCAATTCTATTCTTAGCTTGAGAGGGGGAGGCAGACAGAAAGCCCAGTTCTCCATTCCATTCCCCTCCCAGGACGGCATTTAACATGCTGCTCCTGCCAGCTGGCAGCCAGCCACACCAATGGCCCTGTCAGCACTGGCCGTGGAGAATAAGAAACTCAACCATAAAAGGCCAGAACTGCGGCCTGTGCCGTGGGAGGGGGGTGGGGAATGTGTGGCACTGTCCGAGGGTGGCCAGGGCAGGGGCAGGAGGTACTGGTTCCAGAAAAGCAGTGCAAAGCCGTTGAGCCCAGAATTATCCAAGCAGGGCCAGATGAGAGACAGCACCAAGGGAGAGTGGGAACGGATACCTGCTGAGATGGAGTGTGGGGCCAAACACTGCTTTCAGTATGGGCCACGCACATAGCAAGCTGGATCACTGGCACCCGTCCCTCCAAGCTCCTGACCCCTTGAGGGCAGTTATAGAAATAAGCGCCTGGAGTCACCAAAGACAGAGAGAAGAAGGTCCCTGGTGGAAGAGGACACCCTCTTCCCCACCGGCTTAGGGCCTGAGGCACTGCTACAGAACTGCCCAAGGCTCAGGGTGAGCAAACACTGGGGAAATCGGCATCAACAGTGCTCCACATAGGACAGTTCCACAAAAGGCCTGCATGTCACCCTCAAGATGAAGTTTCCAGCTAGAGGTAGCTTTGCCTTTTGGGGACATTCCACACCCACTCACATGCCCATGAGCGGCGTCTGCACGGGCGTGTTTGACAGCTAACTCCCACAGGGCCTTTGATGTCCCCAAAGCTGTGAGGCTGGAGCCACAGTCCCTTCCATCCAGTCTTCAGTGAGGGTGTGAGGTGAGGATGGAGGAGGAGAGCTGGGATGAGACTCAAGTGACCACAGAATGACAGAGCCACAAGAAGCCTCCAGAGTCACCCACAGAAAGGTGATTCCTAGAGACAGAGTCCTAGCTGCTGTTCTGTGGGTTCCTTTTGTTTTGTGTGCCCACCTGTGTGTCCCCCAGGGACATGCACGGGAAGCCTCCGGCGCAGGGAGGTAGTGTCAGGACCACCACACAGTTGCAGTTTTGTACACTGCATGGGGGACCCAGTGGAGTGGTCCAGGCCAACCTGTGCTCCCCAAGACCAGCTGTGGGCCTGGTGTGAGGTGGGGGTGTGCCCTTCTTTTAGTCTTACAGAAAGACCCCATAGAAAGCCAAGAACAAATGGAAACTACACTCAAGTGTGTGTCAAGGTACACCAGGTCAGAGTCTCGCAGGGGCTCTGCACACATGTCCACACGGGAACAAGATATGGCCCACCCTCCACCTGTTGGTGCCTTCATTTGTCCCTCTTCGTTTGTCCTGAGCTCTTCCCACGTGGGGAATCATAACTGACTGAGGGAGCTGAGCGGGGCTGATGTTTCAGGAGAGAGCTGATCAAGGCATGAGAAGCATAGTTAGGAAAGAGGGGAGACAAAGAGAACTTAAGAGCCCATCTGGAGCTAGACAGGAAAAGGGAGTGGAGTTAGGGTTAGATGGACTCGGTGACCTCGAGAACAGTCCCTGCAGACTAACAGGATATGCCGGTGAGTTGCAGTGCATGCCTGGGCATCCGCTAACACGGCAACAGTTTTGGGCTGCTGGGAGGAGCCAGTAGAGAGAGTTTAGAAGATACGAGAAAATCGGGGATGGTGCATCCCAGCACACAGGAGAAAGGAGCAGCCTAGGGCGGGACACTGTCCAGTCATCCGCAGAGCCCAGACGGGAGCAATGATGGGACTGGTGCCCACACCTGAGTCCCGGGGGCCATGACACTGAGCAAATTCATGCCTAAGCCCTGTGTTTCTCAGGGAAGTTAGAGGCCAAGGCTGGCAGGGACATCAGTGATCAGAGATAAGGACAAGAGTTTCTGAGTAGCACTGATCATTTAGCTGAGCCTAGAGGTCAGGAGGGTTCGTTTCATATTTGGAGGTGGATTTAATCTTTCTGCAGTGCCCCAAGTCTGGGACAGGAACAGCAGAGCTAGAGGTGGCAGTGAGTCAGGGGAAGGCTGGCGAGGGGATTGGGTGGCAGTGGGAACAAAGGACAGAGAGGACTGAAGGTGCCAGGAGAGGCCAGAGTGGGGGGCCAGGGGTTCCCACGGCCAGAAAAGCAGAGAAGCCAGGCGAGTGCTGACAGGAAGAGGGTCGAAATAGGCTGGGTCTGGAGTTCTGCAGCAGCTTGAGGGCAGTGTGAGAGTTGGGGTGCAGACCAGCAGGGTGCAGATAGGGAGAAAGGGGGCTGGGCGATGAGGTCCCACGTCCGTGCATCCTGCCTCCCGCCCCAGCCTCCGCCCCGGTGGTGCCCAGACTCACCCACGACGGTGAGGTTGACCTGGGCCTGCCTGCTGCCCAGCTTGTTCTCCACCAGCAGTGTGTAGCAGCCGCAGTGCTCCTGGCGTGCGGCCAGGATGGTGAGCTTGCTGGTGCCCTCGCCGTTCTCCACCTTGATGTGCTCGCTGTCCTGGATCTGCAGGCAGGGACAGGGTGGGCACTGAAGACTGGGCCAGGGAGGAAAGGACTCCCCTGCTCTCCCCACTCCGGGGGCTCGGGGTGTCCAAGCCAGGGTGGGCCTCGCAGGGCGGGCTGTATGGCCTAGCTGGGCACTCACTGCTCCCAGGACACAATTCAGCAGCGGCTCAGCCTCCTGTCACTGCTGTGGGATGGATGACAGGAGACGGCATCTGGGCCAATCACTGTGACACTCATCGGCAGTGGGAGCTACTCTTCTGTATGCTGTCCCATGCAGAGACCATGGCCCGAGTGTGGCCACTTACATTCTAATTAGGGTAAGTGAAATGTCCATTGACGGATGAAGAGATAAAGTGTGCTCCATCTAGACAATGGGGTATTGGGTGTTTATGAAAAGGAATGGAGCACTGATTCAGACCACCTCACGGATATAACTCAGCACTCAATCCCCAGTGCTGGGGTTGGGGATAGCACCCAACCTCAAAACAACCCTCCAAAACTCCAGACACAAAAGATGACGTCTGACTCTGGTGGTATGAAATGTCTAGAGCAAGCAAAGGTCAGAGGCTAGAACAGAAGGGGAGGACTACTAATGGGTTTGGGGTTTCTTTCTGGGATGAGGAATCAGATAATGATGATGTCTGTACCACACTGTGACTCTACTAAAACCACTGAGTCAGACATTTTATTTTGTTTATTTTTATGAGATAAGGTTTCACTGTGTGGTTCAGGCTGGCCTTGAACTCAAGGTGATCCTCCTGCCTCCGCCTCCCGAGGGCTGGGATTACAGGTGCACACCACCACACCCGGCTTGAATGTACATTTTAAAAGGGTGACATTTGAGTGGGGATGTATTTCAGTAGCATGTGTGAGGTCCTGAGTTCAATTTCCAGTACTGCCAGAAAGGGAGGGGTGTGTATGTGTGTGTGTCTGTGTGTGTGAATTTTGTAGTATATAAATTGCATCTCAACAAAACTGTTGTAAACTTTTAATCAATTAAAATTAAAAATTTAGGCTCCAGCCATATTTCATCTGCTCGATGGCTGCTCCAGCCATATTTCATCGGCTCGATGGCTGCTCAGGCCCAGTGGCCATCCTACTGTCCAGCACAGGCAGAGAGCATGCCCACCACAATACACACTCTGATGAACAAGCTGGGACTTGGCTGGCTGTCCATGAGAAGGCCTAAGATTCTGTCTGAGTTCAGGCTCTAGCACTGGGTAAACACACCAAGAGATGCTAAAGCTCTTCACCATCTACGTTCTTCCCTGGTGTTAGCTCATCCCCGAACTGGGACGATCTGAACGGCATGAAACCAAAGTGATAGACGGTTTGGAGTAAATCTGCACCTCCTGATCCAAGGTCACCTGCCATTCCGAGGTCTTTGCTGATCATGCACAGGGCACACCACCCATGGGAGACTGGTGGGACAGTCAGGACCCTTGCATTTCCTTAAAGGCAGGTTGTCTGGAAACTCAAATACTTTTTCATGTGAACCATTACTACAAACCGTAGCTAGATTTCTGGGCCAGTCAGCTGAAATTCTATTTGACAGATAATTTATTTATCCTTCAGCATCTGGAAAGTTTGAGTTGTTCTCACAGACAGCAGACAGTGGGCTGGCAGAGAACCTCACAAAGTTATTGGGGTCTGGGAGGTCACCTGAGGTGACCTGAGCCTGAGTCTCTACCTCCAGGTAGAGACTGCAATGAGGTGGGCTGCGGGCAGCTTTATGATAGAAGCTGCACCATGTGGCGTACAGTAGGCTGGAGGCAAACTCAGCATGAACTCAGGCCTGGGGACTGGGGTCCCTCCCTCTCTAATGTGATGGAAAGTGATGCTGTCGCTGCCACCACCGCGGTCCTCACTGGTTTGGGCCTGGGCACTGTGGGTTTTCCTCGAGCCCTTGCCGCCACGACTGACCTGCTTTCGGAACTTCATCCACGTGCAGGTGATGGGCTGGGTGCCAGTTACTTTCCCGAGCAGCTCCACCGGCTCTCCCGCCCGCACCTTCTGGTCCTCGGGGAACTGGATGATCTGAGGGGGCATTGCTGGGAGAGGACAGGGGCAAGTGAGTGCAGAGGGCAGGCCTGAGGCTCCTCCTGTCTTCTGGAACCTCTGGAGTAAGACTGGGGGTACTGCCCACTGTCGGGGAGACCTGATCTCTCGAACCTGCTACGTTTGCTCAAATTTTCATTCAGGTCCCCTCAGAAATGACCTGCAATGGGTCATTTACACAAGTAGCAGAGTGAGGGGACAGAGGGTGGGGTGGAATTTCGAGAAGGGACAGGAAAATTGCTGGGACTGTGGGGTGCTGTACACGAAAAGAGGTCAGAGGGGCAGAGAGAGGACAAGGGAGGAACACTTGCTCGAGGAGCAGATTTGGGCTGACCCACGCAGAACTGGGAGTGGGGAAGGGTCTCCTGATTATAGCCAGGTGGGCAGGCTGTGGGGCAAAGGCAGTCCCCATGGCTGTGGTGCCTGTGTCCCCTGGAGAGGGCTGCTAATTACCTGCCTTCGGAGATGTCTTGGAGATGGGTTTCTTTTTCACGGTCGCATCACCTATAACAAGAAAGTTCACAGGTTATTTTCTGTCAGTTCTGTTTTCTGTAAATAATTTCCTGAATCCAAGGAGGGTGTGGTCTTGCCCACGGGGCCCTTAGCCAGGGAGAGACCTCATTCCAACATGTCCTTCAGAGACCTCCTTTCCTCCCACGCAGATAGCTTCGTGGTCAGAGGAATGCCAGTTCTCAGGGGCCTCTGCTGGGGTTCCTGGCACCACCAATGAGATAAAAAGCCTCAAAAATGCCTAGGCCCCCACCGTCCTATTCCAAGATGATCACTCAGAACTCACTAACGACTCCCTCACCCAAACTTTCAGGAAACTCAGAAAGGAAATTATGTCAGATAACTAACTAAAATTAGCCTTTGGTGCAGATCCACAGATCTCAGGCTTCCTTTGGGTCATAAATTGTGAACTGGTGGCTTTCATTTTTGAAATGTTTGTTGAATGGATCAATAATGAATGAATGGTGTTACTTTCCTACTCTCTCTAAATTGTTGAAAGTGAGTCAAACATGACCATTTTGCTGTAAAAATCTATTCATTTGCTAGATAACAATATGGTACACACACAGATTTATGCCTGACTATCTTCATGGCTTGTTTTCATATTTCCTTCAGGTCTTTGCTCGAAAGTCACTTAGCCTGTTTATCCAAGTGCAGTGAAAAACTTGCATGAACACAAACATTTGCGTGTGAAGTTTATATACAACTGCCCCAAACTAGGAGATACATCAAGCTCCTCAGCCTGAGAATAGATGAACTATGGCACACCAGTACACCGAAATACTTCCCATCAATAAAAACAACAAACTATGAATACGTACAACATAGATGAATCGTTGTAATCTATCTTTCCCTTCAGCTAAGAGAAACCAGATTCAAAAGCTACACATGAGGCCTAACTATCTGCTGGGTGGATGGAGAACAGACCAGTGCCAGAAGCGGGGTGGCAGGTTTGAGAACTGAGGGGCACAGGGACACATGCTGAGGGGATAGAGTTGTCTTTTGCTGGGCTGGTTACACAGTGCACATGAGTTTGTCAAGGCTCACAGAACCCTGTCCTAAAAGAAGTGCAGGTTAAGGGAGGGCAAGGGAATCATCACATCATCAGCGCAATCTTCCTTAACCACCCTATGCAATCACCAGAGCACTACCTTCTGTGCTGCTTATAATGCTTATTCTGACTTATAAGCCCCCACTTATCACCACTTGATAAATTATGCATTTTCTTTATGTATTGTCTGCCCTTCCCTCGTCACTATAGCGTCAGCTATTTGAGGGCGGTGACTCTTTTTGCTTAGTGCTGTGAACCTAATGAGCTTGGCAGCTACCCACTGAGTGAATAAGAGGGTTAATATTGACAGGGGTTCGCCCACTGCAGATCACAGAGGGGCAGCACCGGGGGCAGCTTGGCTGCAGCGGCTCTGGCTCCGTGACCTCCAGCAGGTTAGCCAGCCTTGTGAATGGTAAGCTGTGTGTTCCTACCAAGGGGAGTGTGCTGCTAACCCAGGAGGACTGCTGAAAGGAGGGGACCCCGTGCAGAAGCACGTTGTGGGGTCCCAGAGCTGATGATGACAGCTACATGATTTTCCCACAGCCATCCTGGCTCATTTCCATCCGTGGCATGAAACCAAAGTGACAGACTCCTCCAACAACTTACTGGAGGCCTGTGTGCCCAGCACGTGCTCATCAGTGTGTGCTACCCACCTGGGGACTGAGGAGAGACCCAAGCCGAGGCACCGCAGCAGGCCCTCTCATCTAACCCTAGCACTGAGATGTGATGGCTCACAGCACTTGCTATGCTACCCCTTGGGTCCTACAAGACAGTTATAGGACAATGGCAACACTTAGATACGGTCAATAAATTAGTATCAATATTAATTTCCTACATTGACGATCAAGATCTTTATATGAGATCTTCCTTGTTTTTAGGAAAAATTTACATTGAATTAAAGTAGAATTAAGTGTAGAGGGTCTGTGGGTGCAACGTTCTTACAAACTGCTCACAAAGCAGCACATGCATGTGGAGAGGCAGGGGAAAATGAGGGCAGGGACACAGGAAAAAGCAGACAATAAAATGCTGAAATCTGAAGAACCAAGATGAAAGCCATAGCAGAAGTATTTGTATTAGTTTTTCATTTTTTAATGTAAATATGAAATTATAGTATTTCAAAAGGAAGTTTTAAAAAAAGACACGTTATCCAGTCAGCACGATGCACGTGCTCACGTGCAGTTAGAAACACAGGACACTGTGGCTGGGGACATGGCAGGAAGGCTCGAGCAGGGACCAAAAGCTAAGCGAGATCTAACTTAGGAAAAGAGCCCAAGTCAGTGGTCAGCAGGGGTGCAGAGTCCACAAAAAGTAGACTTTGGTGGAGGCTGGATCAGAGAGCATACTGAATTAAAGAAATTTAGTGTCATTAGTGACGGTCCTTCCACCTCCCACAGGCAGGAGTATCCAATTAGGGAGCTGCACAACCAAAGAGAGAGGCGTCAAGGGAAGGAGAGGAGTCTATCAGGGCAGACCTGGCCTGGTCGGAAGGGAGGAGGCCACCTGTAGGGAGGGGCTGACACCCAGAGCCTCAGGATGTGGTGGTGTGTCTGGCCGTTGAAGAGGTGATTGTGTTAAAATGGGATGACAGTGGACCCTAACGGAGTCTGATTTATGCCCTCATAAGAAGAAATTAAGAAAGAGGAAAGGGGGCTGGGGATATAGCTCAGCTTCACAATGCCTGGGTCCTGAGTTCCATTCCTGATTCCAAAAACAAAACAAAACAAAAAAACAAAAGGAGGGAAGGAAGAGGAAGAAGGGAAAGAGAAAGGAACGAGGGGGAGATACACACAAAAGACAGACAGACAGGCAGACTGAGACTGAACAGACCTCCACACACAGAAGGAAAAGACAGCCGCATGAAGGCAGAGAAAAGACGGCCACCTGCAAGCAGGTCAGAGCGTCCAGAACTCTGGGAGAAGGACTTCTTCGCTGAAGCCCAGGCCGCTACCTTGGGAAGGCAGCCCCCCACTCCTGTGGCTTGGATGGGCTCTGGTGGGAGGGTGACAGTCCCTGAGGCAAGTAGGCGGGCCAGCAGAATCAGAAAACTTCAAAGTGCGGCCATGGGCTGGTGGCTCTGGGCAAGCTGTGTGGGCAGAACCCCAGTCCTGACTCGCGCAGGCCTTTCAGTATCACAGGTAAAAGGATCGAAGCCGGTTTGTTCTATATATTTGGAGCACAGCGGTTTGAACTGGTTAGCACTTGAAGCTGGCTAGGCCCTACCAGTGAAAGCAACTCTAAGTTAATGACGTTCTGTATGCTATACATATTTTATATAAGCATCTGCTGAAATCCATTAATGGGGTTTTGGGCTTGCAACCGAATTCAAAACCTGAGTTTCTTGGCAGGTGCTTCTCAGCCAGATGTGAGCCTGGCACCTCCCAGTGTATGAAAGACACAGAACCTCACACGAGTCGGGGGCTTGCCGAGTTGAGCAAGCCAGATATGGTCCAGCTGGAGAGGACCATGGCCTCTGGCCATCCCAGATATCGGGATGCCTTCCCTTCCCAGCTGACACTCTGCCCACTCTCAGATCCCTTTGAGACCCTTCTCTGTGGGCTCTTGTGCTCATATGTACTGCTTGGCCATTTGCTAAACTGTGTGGTTTAAAGCTCACCATTTAACCTCTTGAAGCTTCAGGTTAAAAAACATGGAAAGTATAAATAAAGCTTGTTGTAAAGAAACTATAGCATATAGTGCATTCTCTATCACCAGTCTGTCCTCCATTCATCCCTCTTTCCTAAACAGATGGATCCCTTCTCTGCCCTGGGGGACACAATCAGCTCCTTTACCATTTAGCATGCCATCCTGGGGGGCGGTGCATGACAATGCTCGGACCTCATGCACTTGTGTGGCACCTTGTGCTCCTCCTTCCAGTTCTGAAGCCCAATCAATGCTTTTGCTAACCCAGATGCCCAAATTCTAAGTGTTCCTTGGGACACTAATCATTTCCTGTCCTTTAGACTCACCCTTCCTACAACATTATTCCTGTCAGCCCTTTGTCTCTCATCCCCTTCTCTGACACCCCAACTTTTTGGCACCTGCCACTGTCAGAGAGGAATATCCTAGAAGGAGAATTAACACTTAGTCACCTTCTCAAATCCTAGGATGGCTATGGCTGGGGGTCAGGCAAGGAGGGCAGAGCACATCCCCTCTGCCTGCATGTGGCTGGCCTCAGAGAAACTCAGAGGCATCCTCTGGGTGGCACAGGACTCCTGACCCTGGAACACTTCACTTCCTGCTGCTCTTAGAGTCACCTTTCTGTTCCTTCTCCTGCTCACATTTTCTTTGGAGCCAGCTCTCTCTCCTGAGTCCACCCCCTGCATCCAACCGCCAGAGAAGTCAACACATACTGCGAGCCCATATGCCCAGTACTAAGTCCAGGGTCTTTCCCCCAAACTGCTCCTCGTCTGTGTCTCTCCAAAGGCCCCCTCCCTGCCCATATCCAGTCACAAATGCCCAGTGACTCCGTCGACTAAACACCCACTCGGTCTGCTACTTTCCACATGTCCCCTGCACCACTCCAGTCCAAAGTGTACTCTGGTCCCCGGCAAGTCCTAACGCAAAGTGGCCAAAGTGAGCTTTCTCAGGTTCAAGCCCAAAGTCATTCCATTGCTGAAACCTCTTTAGTGGCTGCCCACTGCCATGCAGGACCAAGTCCAAGTGGTCTCACAAGGTTTCTGTGCTCTGTCTCTGGCTTTCTTCTCTTTCCTTCTCCTCCGTCTGGGAAGACCCTTCACCATGTCCTCTGTACTCAATTGTGTTTCTCATAATTTATGTGCATTATCATGACCTACAAACTTAAAACTAGACTCCAGGCTTCCGGGCGCTGCTGGGGGGGTGGTGCCTGCACTGTCATTTGAGTGGCCCACACTGAAGGCCTTCCAGTTTCTCTCACATAAGTCTGTTACCTTCAGCATTTGCACATGCGAATCTCCCTCCCCTT